TTTTGGATATATTCAATGAAGTAGTAAGTAAGACTTACATATCTGGATATGCTTCACACGCTATCTCTAAAAACCTAAACTGCGAGATATGCAAATCGCTAATAGTTAAAGAAAATGGTTCATTAACAACAAATGTTTATTTTGATCATTTGCAAAGAGCAGGACTGTCAATTCCAACCAGTTATGTACCAATCATATTCTACCATATGTATGCCATTTTTGAATCTATTATTAATGTAGATAGATTGGAAATTTTCTTCTTGAAAGGCAATAATCAAAAATGTATTTTGTGTCAGTTAACCTTGCTCAGCATTCAGTCTGACTTTATATAGAGTGAATTTTCTTTAACTTGCATCTGTGGCCGCAATTATGCAGATATTTCATCTAAGCTTTTGTCTATTTTTTCAAACATAATTTTAAATGATTATGTAAAATTGGAAAATAACAGTAAAACTGGAAGTAAATGTATTAAAAACAAACAGGTAACTCCACATTTCCAAGCTGGGCCTGTTGGAACACAGTGTGCTGACACCAAAAAACGTAAACTAAATACTTTTAATTAGGTTAACTGCATTAGCGACTCATATATATCACGATTATTTCGTATTTTTAAATTTTTTAGAGCTATTTCATATTCAGACGATTTGTATCGAATCGAACTGTCCTTTTTTCCAAAATTAAATTTAGTTCTTGAACGTTACACGGAGACGGAGCACGCAGCCGCTGGCGGGCGACGTTCACAGGTAGCACTACCATGCCGTCCGAGCGCGGTGTTGCCTTTCTTTCATCACGGCTGGTAGTTGACGTCGGCTGTGTTTTAACGTCATGTCTCTTCAGGACTCTCCCAATCCTATGTGTGACTCTTGCCACAAATGGAAGATACGCTTGAGAGGTGGTGGGACGCCGTTCGATCTTTCGATGTCCCTCTTGCTGTAGCCATTTGCTTCGAACGCAGTTTTCAGGTGTTCAAGTTCTGTCTAGAGGTTTTCCGGTTCGCAAATCCTTCGAGCGAGCTCGTTCTGTCAGGGTTCTGATGACCCCATACTTCTGACTTGGGTGATGATTGGACAAAGCGTGTAGGTATCTGTCTGTGTGCGTTGGTTTCCTGCAGTGGCGGCTCGTGAGGTAGTGCCACGGTGCCATGGCACTACCTTGTCTTCTTCAAATAGAATATTTTTTTCAATCTTCAATGTTTTACTTTATTTTCTGCTTTTTCATTTTTTTTTGGTATAAATTATATGAAGTGACAACACTGACAACGTGACAACACCGCAAGCACCCGACCCACGCGACGAGACGGAAAGCATGCCTTGACCTTGACGTCATCAACTTGTGCCAATTGAGAAATTTTACCAGCATCGCATACGAGCGACAGAGATAACGCTACGCTACACATTTTTATATGAGGTGAATAGCGAAAGACAAGTATAATTTGTGCCAGGCACATCATCAGTCGTAATTTGTTATCAAATGATATCGGCGGTGTTTTTGTTCGGTCGGTCGTTTCGTTATGATTACGTCTAGTGCTGATTTCGGTCTTTTTTTACCTGAAAAGTGATAAATAACGTTTTTGTTTTAGTACGTCTAGTGTTAATGAACTGCTCTGTTTTGTGATCATATTTTTTACTGTTTTATTAAAACTAGTGAAAATGAATAAAATCGGGATATTAAAAAACTCATTTAGTGGTTTTTCGCTGGATCAAAAACTGCAAATTAAAGAATTAGGACGGCCAATACCCGATTTAAAAATTGAGAAACAAAGTGGTAGCGGACAAAAATCGCGCTGTCGCAAATTTAATAAAAATGTGTACGATAAAAACAGCTGGATATGTGGTTGTGAAGAAACGAATAAACTATTTTGTTTTGTATGTGTTCTATTTGGAGGTGACGAGACTTGGTCAAAAAAAGGTACAGACGATCTTATACATATATGGGATAAAATGAAGACCCACGAAAAATCTAAAGTCCATATGAATAATGTTTTTAGCTTTTCTATTCTTGGTAAATTAAATATAAGGACTCAACTCAATTCGGCTTATCGCAATGATCTAATTAAACATAATAATCAAGTGGATAAGAATCGATATGTATTGAATAAAATTATTAATTGTATAAGGTTTTGTGGAGCATTTGAGTTAGCCTTAAGGGGTCACGATGAAAAGGAAAATTCGGAAAACAGAGGCATATTTAAGGAGCTGGTGAATTTTAGCGCCGAATTAGACAACGAATTGAAAGTCCATATTCAAAGTGCCAAACTTTTCAAGCGTACCTCAAAAACAACTCAAAACGAGCTTCTTGAGTGCATGCTAGATGTTTATCATGAAGAAGTTAAGAAGGAGATTGCAAATTCTCCTTTTGTTGCAGTAATTGCCGATGAAACGACTGACGTAGCCTGTGAATTTCAGTTAGTTATTATTTTCAGATATTTGTGTGAAGGACAACCAGTTGAGAGATTTTGGAGATTTTACGTCCCCGACGGACACGATGCCAAATCAATCGCTGCATGCGTTTTAAATGTTGTAAATCCATTACTAGATCAAAATCCAAACAAATTAATAGCTCAAAGCTATGATGGTGCGTCTGTTATGAGTGGTGAATTGAATGGCGTTCAAAAAATTATTAAGGAAACTTATCCACTTGCAAATTATGTTCATTGCTATGCACACCAGTTAAATCTAATTATGACAAGCGCATGCTCTGTCAATAAGCAGGCTAGAATATTTTTCCATAATTTATCTGGATTGTGCTCTTTTTTTTCGACGTCTCCTCAAAGAACAAAAATTTTGGATGAAATAGTTAATCGCAGATTGCCAAGATCTTCCCAAACACGTTGGAATTTTCAGTCACGAGGTGTTCATACAGTTTATGAAAATAGGAAAGACCTGATTGAAGTTATGGACAATATAGAAAGTACTTCACGCGATTCTTCGTCGATTAATCAAGCCAGTGGGTACAAATTAAAGCTGCAAGATACAAATTTTGTGTTTTGGCTAAGTATATTCCATAAAATAATGCCACATGTTGAAATTGTCTTTAACCAATTACAAAAAGTATGCACCGATTCTGTTAAGGTCAAAAATGATTTAGAGAATTTTGAAGCAGCAATTCAAACTATACGAGAACAAATGGATAGCATTATTGACGAGATTGAACGAGTGCAGAGAGAAACTGATGAACCGGCAAGAAAAAAAAGGCAAGTTGAAGAAGGCAGCAAAAAACGGGAAGCGTTAGAAATATGCGATGCAGTATTATCGCAAATAAGAACAAGATTTAACTTTTCTGGGCATTTAGTTGCTTCTAATTTATTTGTGTCTGAAAAGTTTTCCGTTTATAAACATCAGTTTCCTGAAGCACATTTAAATGACACATGCACACAATTTTCATTTTTAGACAAAAACAGGCTTAAAACTGAGTTACAAGTATTATATCAGAGAGAAGAATTGAGTACTACTTCTGGAGCTGTTCCACTATCCATTTTATTGAACGAGGAAGGATTAAATTGTACGTTTCAAGAAACTCTTAAGCTCTTAAGTATTTTAATCACTATACCGATGTCAACATCTGAAGCAGAACGCTCTTTTTCAATGCTGAAACGGATTAAAACTTTCCTCAGAAACACAATGAAGGAAGAAAGGCTTAGTGCTTTAGGAATGCTGTCTGCAGAAAAACATTTTGTTAGTGGCATTGAAAATTTTAATAATAAGGTAATCGAAAACTTTGCTACCAAAAAAGAAAGAAGAATGGACTTCATGTATAGAAAACTTTGAAGTTATAGGTACTTCTCCACACTTGTTTTATAATTTGGTGCGCGTGTGTAAATAGTTTTATTTTTGATTTTTTTTTTGGACATATAGATTTATTGAACCTCAAGAACTTTGACCACTAACTATCAGGGGTAAGTTATAAGTTATTCTTTACAATTTTGAATCGATTCAAAATTATGGCTTCCATTCTGGCACTACCTCACTGAATTGGCACGAGCCGCCACTGGTTTCCTGTACACTGTGTGACCCAGCTTGTTACCTCGCTTCCTGACTAGTACGTCCAAGAAGGCCAGTTGTTGGTCACTCTCTATCTCCATGGTAAATTGTATGCTTGGATGCCGATCGTTGAGGTGCTGCAGAAACTCGTTTAGCCTGTCCGTGCCATGTTTCCAAATCACGAAGGTGTCGTCCACGTACCGGAACCAAATTGCTGGTTTGTTCTCCGATGTCTCAACCGCCTTCTTCTCAAAGTGTTCCATAAAAAGGTTGAAAATGACTGGGCTAAGTGGACTTCCCATTGCCATTGCTCATAAAAGCCCCCCCATCCCATACGAAGTAGCTTCCAGTGAGACAGATTTCAAAGAGCTTGCAGATGTCAGAAGGGAAGATCCTGCTCACCAGATCCAGGCATTCGCTCAGCGGTACCTTGGTGAAAAGGGAGACGACATCGAAGCTCACAAGGATGTCGTCGGTTCAACTACGATGTCCTGAATCTTGCGCGCAAAGTCGGTGGAATCCTTGATGTAGCTGGTATTCTTTCCCACGTATGGTTGCAGCAGAGTAGCCAAGTGTTTCGCTAAGTTGTACGTCGGCGATCCGGGAGCACTGACTATTGGTCTCATCGGAAATCTAATATGGCGTCCTTAAGAAAAAATAAAGTTGATGCTGGAGGACTAGAGACTGAACCTCATATTGAAATTGTAATTATTTCATTTCGTAGAGGAGAAACAGTGCCAATGTTGATGTGCAAATTATTTTGAAATACCACTACAAATGACGTCAAAAAAAATTAAAACGATTTTAGGAAAAATGTGTTTTTCTGCCTCTCTCTGGCAGTAGTTTGAATTTCAAAACTTTCTAAGCGGCTTTTTCCTAATTACTTAAATACACAACTTTTCCACCATTTGAGCGACCTCGTATCTCTTGCCTTTTTCGAGATCTCAATGGTGAGATATACCAAAAGACACATTACTAGAATATGTTCACGTTAATAATATATAAATTATCTGTTTCTAGAACAATAATCCACCACCCCTTGTTCCATTCTCGCTCCCCTTGACACCCGAATCTCCACAAGTACCGCTTCCTGAAAATTGGCAAACATGGTTGGATGAAGAACGGCTACGAGGCAACAGCTTTTTCACACCCGTCTCTGGTCGTCGACAATCCATAGAAACAATTAGCAGCGCTGGAAGTGATTACTCGCCGAGGTAATTATCACGACACTATTACGACAACCATTATACATTGTGGCCAGTATATAACTGACTGATTTAAATTTCGCGCCACTTTTGGTACACGCGTTTCAGTAGGTGGCGCCGTGCGGCCATAGTAGTTGTTTAAAGCACATGTGTCCCACGTTACACATACACTGAAGATAGGATATTGCGCATGTGGGCGGAGCTTCGTGACGTCACCCGGAGAGTTGTCGGCTCGTGGTTACCAGCGGCAGGATTATCGTAACGTTACTGCTGTTCAGGTGTGTCGTACTTAATACTATATAGTGTGATTTATTGGTGGTTTTTTGACTTGTATCAGTTATACTTACCTTATATACCCTGTGTGGTTGATAAATTGATAAAAATGCGGTGTGCTGTTGTGGAATGTAATTCCGACAATCAATTTAAGGGGCCGTTCAAGTATTACGTAAGCAGATTTATGACAATTATTTACCCCCCCCCCCCATCCCGCTTGTCAGCAAAAGTAAGCAAAGCTCTGACCCCCTCCCCCAAGCTTACGTAAACATTTGTCAATTATTGTATTGTTTTTTTTTCAATATTATAATTAATAACGTTATAATTATAATTTGAAAAATAAGAAAATAGATTTAGGACAGAGATTATATTTTACTGATACGGTAGTTCAACATAGAGTAAAGGACAAAAATATATACAAAGTATGGCGATATATATGGTAAATATAAAACCCTATGGCTTTAAATCTAATATGTTTAAACGAGCAATTCGTTCCGGTCACAAAATACAGGGTGTTTCTGTATATATGTATAAAACCAACATCCTGTACTTTGTGACCAATTGACGGAATCAATCATAAGAAATAAATCTATAGTATAATGAATATTACCTCTATACTTTGAGATAGGCCATAATATTTTCTAATCAATAAAGAGAAACTGTTTGGTGATTTCTAATATTTCTAGTACTCATAGGTACCTAAAATGATTTCGTCACTCACCTTAGAAAAAAAAATTTAGTAGACTGGATTTATTCTTAGTCGCCGCTTGCAATTCTTCTTCGATTCTCTTAGATACAATAATATCTAGTTCCTTGTCGGATTTTGCTTGTAATTTGTAATTTCGCCACACTGCGTTAACTAACTTTTGTACATTTTGTACTTTCGTACTTGTATGGGATTTTTTTAAAACTTTCAAACAATTTTTGGTATAACTTGGATTTGTCTATGTGAAACGACATCTAATTTATACATTAAACTTTGGTTAATGGATTCAATGGTAACACAAATGTTAACTTGCTTTACTATGCTTACAATACGTCTACTCGCTATAGTATCCAAACGAAACAATACACTGATAGAGGAAATTTAGACAAGTGAACACCGCGCGGTAATTCCCCTACTCGGTTCTAAAGCGAGTATTTGCGGGAATCCCCGAAAATGCGTTTCGTTTTCAAGCAAAGACAATGTGAGGGTTGCCATTCGTGTAAAAAAGTAAATAACTACCGATGACGTAATCATCATCTAGACTCCCCTACCCCCCATGTCATCCAAAATAAGCAAAGCAAAGATCTGTAGCCTATGAAGTAGGAATTACACGGTTGAAATCTTTTATTAGAATCCACCATTTTGTTTTTTATAAAACTTCAATGTAGCTAGTGTCACTCGCACCCCTAAGACGAATCCAACAACACCTCATATGTGGAAATCCGTCCAGCCGTTTGGCCTGTTGGTGAAAATCTGCACGTTATCCAGATCAACCGAAACGATAATCACTCTCCGCGTGACGTCATGCGCACCGGCGGACGAAAATCGAATAGCGGAGCATACGGCCCTGGCCCAACACCACTGCAAGGAGATGTGCCCGCCGCGCCGCGCCACACACGCTTCCCCCTATTATGAAAAATGAGTAAAAAGTGAGTCAAACCTTCAACCTACATATATTTTATTGTACCTAGGTGTACAGATACTAGCATATCAGCTCCAGATAAACATTTTTTCTGTGTGCCAAAACAGGGAAGTATTAGAAAGAAGTGGTGCAAGGTAATGTATAGGGACGATAAATCGCCGCTGTAGGAAAAATCAACGTTGTTTTGCTGTGAATCCCAGTTTGATGTAAGCAGCCGCTTCACTACGACGCATGACGTTCCATGTGACGTCACTAACGAACCTCAACGTGCATTCAACACAGAAAATGCCATAACTTCCTTAAATTTAAAGTTATTGGAATAATTCTTTCAGATTTGTCAAAGATACTAGTTATATTATCAGATGCAAGTAACACAGGCAGTATTTTTGACTGTAGGAAACTTGATCTGACGAACTTTTATTCTTTTTTTTGCAGACTGTACTAACATTTTCAGGTGTTCAATTACTCATACTGTTTACGATTCAGTTTGCGTCTGTTCTTTCGTCAAATCCTATATCGTCGAGGGATATTTTCGGATTCGTGTTTATAAAAACTTTACCTGTTGTTGTTTTTCGAATCACCCTGCACCCTGTGTAAAATATACTTTCATAAACTACTACCTTTTCAGGTTGACCACTGATGAAGTTGAAATCAAAATTGATTCAAAATGGTACCGTGTGAAGAGGAACGTCTACGAAAGAATGCCAAAAGGGAAACTGTACTACATACAACAAAAAAATATGCTTATCAGGTTAATATCTGTTATCAATACAGGGTGTCCGCAAAGTTGGGCTTTTCCTTTACACGACGTGTAGATCTTGAAAACAAGCAATTTTTCTTAGCACCATATACACCAATGTCTTAAGGGAACCGAGATAAAGGGCTCTGCAACATCAAAAATATCTTAATACCGTCCTGCAGCCGCGACATCCCCGACTGGTACAAGGTCAGTGGCTCAACCCGACGACAGAACTGGGTCGGGGTCAGTGTGTCAGGTCAGTATGCAACCTTCAACCGACGGTTACGGTCACGCGTGTAGAGGTAATCGCGTAGACGAGAATCCCTCAACAAGCACTTGAGACGAGGCTAGAGAAGTGCAAGTATCAAAAGCTAAAGTGTAGCAAACGCTGCGTGAAGAGGGGCTGTATCCGTTTCACGTCCAACGTGTACAAGCCCTTCAACCTGACGATTTTCCAGCAAGAGTGCGGTTTTGTGAGTGGTTGTTGCATCAACATGACAATAATCCGGACATTTTGAAGTGCATATTGGTGATAGACGAATCTACGTTCACGCGTAATGGGGTGAATAACTTTCGCAACACTCATGTTTGGTCTGTAGAAAATCCGCACGCTGTCCGTCGGGCACATATTCAACAAACATTTTCGGTGAATGTTTGGGCTGGCATGGTGAATGGTATGCTCATTGGACCATTTATTCTCCCAAATCGATTGGACGCGATGTAATACCTAGACTTTTTACGCAACATTTTGCCTTCCTTGTTAGATGTGCCATTAAGTGTAAGACAATCAATGTGGTTTCTGCGTCTGCTCGGTAGCGCATCAGCTGATTTCATTTTCTGTTGGAGCGGTATGATTTCGGGCAGAGACGTACTTAGCCCTACTCGTCAACTGGAGAGTGAGTACTTTTTCCTTTATTTTTTTTACTTGGTCGCCCTCGTTTCACTACACATTACCTTTGTTATTTCAAGGGTAGTTTTTTCTGAAAAGGAAAACCCCAACTTTGCGGACACCCTGTATATTTGAAGTTACGTCCCTCTATAGCAATTTTTCAACTCCAAAATGTGTTATTTCTCTCAACTTATTCATAAAACGATTGCCGTTTACAGATCTAACATCTGCAATCACTACTTTCCATTCTTTTATCTGTTTGGGGAGATCATTTGCATGAAAAATAAACAATTAATGGTCCCAGCACTGATCCCTGTGGAACGCCCAAAGTTGCAGGGAATGTTTTAGATTATGTAGTTTGTATTTTGACCTTTGGATTTTTTCAAAGTAGGGTTTAATCCAGTGTAATAGTAGTATCGATGATAAAACGTTTTTTCGTGAAAAGCTTAGTTTGAAAAGTAATAGCAAAGGCAATTTTTGGACCATCATCTTTGGGCAAATTGCAAGAAATAAACCGTTGTATTTTAGTAGATTTAAATCTTCTAAATTCTCATCCGACTTTTCCATATAGTCACGTCTATCTTTCAATTTTCGTACCTAAAACCTAATCACCTTGGACTAAAAGTACTGTTTCTCAATATAAATATCATATACGCTTATTTGTATTACCTCACAGATACTTCGACGACAATCAAATGGAACAATTCTACAAAAACATCGGTGTCCAGAGTCCCAATCCATCGCCCTCTGACCTCAATCAGATGAAGGCTTGTGCTGAAAACAATGCGGAGACTCTCCTTATACCATCCGATCCATCGCAGATGAATGAAGTTATTGAAATTGACAAAGAGGTAGGACATGGAACGGGGTTTTACCGTAATGGTGTTTGTAAAATTCGTCTCTGCTCTAATCGACCAACTATAAAAACTACAATAATAATACAGCAATATAGCAAATTATACAGGGTGACTTCGAAGTTGAGTCATTTATTTTAACAGTGAGTAGATCTGATCAAAAGAAATGTTTTTTCCGTTTAACATTTTTCTGGTAAAATTAAAGTAACAAAGTTATAGCCCTTTAGAAGTTTGAGTACCGCGCTGTCTCAATAATAATATTATGTGCTCGTGTTTGGCAACAACGGATATAATCCGCCTTATCCGTTCATCGCATCGAAAACAAAAAAGCGAAAGAATTTGGAACGATGTTTTTACAATTATTTTATTCAGTTGTATACAGTCAGTGTCAGTCGGTAACGCGTGAGTGAATAGTGGTGTCTGTTGCGTGGCTCAAACGAAATAAAAAATGGCACATGTTTATGCGGATCGGTTTCTCATTCGAGTGCAACCAAACCCCTCGTGCCTTTGTTAATGTAGTACAACGGGCTCGTGAATCAGGTGACTTAAGACCTCACAGGGGACGGCATGCCGGTGCTCCAAGACCTCACGATCAAATACAAGTCCGCACTGAAATACTTGTCGGGAGGATACTTTATAAAACAAAGTAACATTTTTTTTATTTTTTTTTTATTTTTACACACATATACAATCATTATCTGAAAATTAATGACTCAACTTCAAAATCACCCTGTATATACTCAGTGACTTTAGAAGCGTTACACCCAGGAAAAAATAATTTCTTAACACACGCATTAAAGTTATTGTAGTACAATTAACACGGGGGCCAATTTCGCGATAGGGCAAACCAACATCTCGATAGGCAATAATTCTACTCTTGTCAAAGTCGCTAACATGGTTGAAATTTGAAATGAAAGAGCAATGACTAAAAATATCTGTACTACGCAGTTCTCAGAAACTGCTTTCTTTACAAGAACTAATAGTAATAATAATAATAATAATGTTTATTGGTCCAATTACAAAGTTTTCGTATAAATAATAACGACAATGTCCAATAAACATAATATACTCAAAAAAGTGTACACTTGTGCTTGGGTTTTAACCGGAGTTGAATTATATTATTACAACAAATTTTCTTTAAGTATACTAGTCAAATGTATAAATTTGCATCATTTTATGATCAAATAACATATAGGTTTTTAGTGTCAACAAACTTATGGATTTGTAGCCTTGGTTGATTTAGGATCAATGATTTTAATTCAATTTTTAAACGTTTTTTACATTTTATATGTTTAAAGTTTGCAGAAATATCATTATAAAATTTTGAGCATAGAAAATAGAATGATCTTTGGCTGATAGTTTGATTAAGTCTAGGAATTAGTGCAGAGGTTTCCTTGAACCGCGTTTGATGGTTGTGGCTGATAGAAAGTAACAATTTTGGATTTTTTGTTAAATATATTATTGTATGATAAAAATAAATTTGCCGGCAGTCGAAAAGCTGAGACTCATTGTAAAGATTTTCTGAGGGATAACATTTCTTTTTGTTCAACATAACTTTCAAAATCCATTTCTGCGTAATTTCAATCTTTTTATAATAATTATTCATGACCCCCCCCCATGCTAAGATTCCGTGTGATAGTAATGATTGAACAAGGGCATGTGTAGATATTTTTCGCTTAAAAAACTGCTGAAATATTTGACTTTCGGAATAAGGTATCTTAATTTTCTTACTAAATCTTAGATGGTTATCTATGAATACCCCTAGGTATTTGAAATTATCAACCGATTGTATGTTTCTACAGCTATTCAACGCTTTAATTTGGACTTGATTAAAATTTGAGGAAGATCTGTTGTCGCAAGAAAATGTAATACAGTATGTTTTGTTGGAATTAACTGTTAAAATCCTTTCCGTGAAAAAAATTGTAACCTCTTGAAAATCTAATACAATTTTGTTTTTTAAAGTCCAATCTTTGTCTGAGTAAATAATTGCCGTATAGTCTGCGAAACCAATAATTTCTCCATCGTTTTTCAATTTAAAAAGGTCATTAATATATGAATTAAGCAGCATTGGTCCTAATACGGTTCCTTGTGGCACTCCGCATCTAACAATCATATTTTCACTCAGTGTACTGTTAATGTTCACACAAATAACTTTTCGTGAGTTGATAAGTGACTCCACGAAATGGTAAATTTTGCAAGGTTCTTAATAATTTTTGGTGTGTAATACTATCGAATGCTTTGGTTAGGTCTACAAAAATGATATATTATTATCAACATACTTGTAAATTTTGGTTGTTAACTGAATAAGTGCATCTTGACTTGATTTTGCTTCCTGGAATCCATATTGCTCTTCAGAAATGAGGTTATATTTTGCAATAAAATCTGTAAAGCGTTTTTTAAGAATTTTTTCGTAAAATTTTTTAAAAGTTTGTCAATACAGAAATTGGGCGATAATTACAAGGTTTCTGTTTATCTCCAGATTTAAATACACGTTTTATTATTGCCTTTTTTAATTGGGTCGGGAACATTCCTCTTTCCATGCAGGTGTTTATAAGATATGCTAATACTTTAGAAATTTTATAATTTATTTGTTTCAGAGTGTATGCGCTTATATTATTATTAACTAAGAAATAACATTTTAACAAAGGCAAACAAAAATAAAGACAAAACATTGACATTGTTGACACAGCATGCTTTAAATATAGTCAATATGTTGCCAAAAAAACAAGAGGGTGAAATTATTTCTTCTGGGTGTAACACTTCTAATGTCACTGATTATATTAATTTGCTTGTGCTGCTACTGCACTTAAGGGGCTTATTGCACTACCGTCAATCGTTCATACAATGTTGAAGCACGCCTTTATGGCCTACTTGATTTTAATAGTCTTTTCTCTCGTTCAGAATGACTCGGCGATTTCTAGATGTCTACTGTTCCGTGTCAGCGTCAACGCTCTCCTATTGTGAGGTTATGTTTTCCTTTTAATCTTGAGAAATTTCAGGCTGATGAAATAGATGTAAAAAGTTGTACCAGCCTGGACAGGACAGGAAAAACTATGAAAATCAAGGAGGCCATAACGGCGTCCTACTACTGTAGGAACAGCGTCGAAGATAAAATTTGTTTCACGAACATCTGCGGGATTAACAGCAACATTGATGCTATTCATCACTACTTGCAATCCAGTCGTCCCGCCATGCTTTTCTTGGCGGAGACAAAAATCTCAGAGTCTGCACCGATTCACCTTCTTAGCTTCCCAAATTACGAGGTGCACTCCAATCTGAGAAAGAACGGGGAGATGTGGCTTTTGTCCACAGCAGTATTTCCTGCTGCTCTCTCCCATGATGCCGCCGCGCAATGTGCCTGCCAGACAGACCCGCCTGACTTTGGCCTCCCATCCTAACCGTGTCGAACTTCGTACATCCAGAACCGGCCGATACGACCACTCCTTTGTCCCGAGGGTGTCGAGATTGTGGAACAATCTACAAGAGGAAGCTGATGTTGACACGGGACAATAGAAATCTAGAAATACCCCAAGCTTTGTGTAGGAGAGAAAATACTATGAAAATCAAGGATGCCATAAAGGCGTCCTACAATAATTGTAGGAACGACTGACGATAAGGCGCTGAGTGTTGGATGCATGATACTATGTTTGTATGTGTGTCTGTTTTTCACCAATTGTATGTGTTTTTCTGTAACTGGGCCTTGTATCTGTTGAGAAATATATGAAAAAATTAAATAATCAAATAAATAAATCTACAGGATGTAAAAAAGTTCATTATAACTTATATCCGAAAATAATTAAATTTTCTCAAACATTTGGCAACGCTGCAACGCAACCGTGATACGAGCGCAACTGATTAATCGAATTGTTTACGTTTGTATGATATTTTTTCTTGAAAATTTGCCTTGAATTATTGAATACTTTTACGCAATCTTTTGTGGCTAATATTTTTTATTTAATAACGCTTTCAGTGCAGTACATTTACTTAAAAAAAATGACAGAACTTACCGGTACGTGGCGATACACCCCACGAATTCCCACGATTATCAGTCAGTTATTTGAAATGATGCGATGCACGAAAAAAGAAAAAAAACAACATCCGTAAATCACATAAAGTTACAGTTAAATGTATTAGTAATCACAACACGCGATGATACATGCAGTGCAGGCGGAATACGACGTTGCCAGTTGTGTGAGGGATTTTAGTTGGTTTTTCTTCGGAGGCAAAACAATTGTTTTGTTAGAGACAGTTAATTAATAAATATATGTATTGATACATTTTATGTTATTAGGCATATGAATTTAAATTATTAAGGTACAAATTAATTTATTTCATGACTAAAAAGAAATGAACTTTTTTGCTTAGAATAATGCAAGGATTCACCTTTAAAGTTACGAATATTATTTCCCTAACAACCTATATTATCACAGGTAACATTCTCAACAGAAGACCAACTTAGTGAGCCTGAAATGTATGTGGAGGAGATCGAGAACGTCAGACGTTACGCACCTAAGGACTTCTTCGGTTTTTACCAGTTCGTCACAGGATACCAAATCGTCCGTCACAACTGCCCCATTAGTTTTCATATGTTCCTAGTTTTGCATAATACGAACAGAATTAAACAATTGTTATATGAATACGTGAATGCGTTAATGAACGGGCAGTGCATTCATTAGCGTCTCAAGGCCGGTTCAAGAAGCTTTTTCAATCTCAGGCGAATGTCACACGTTCAATATTTACTATGATCCGTCAGTATTTACCAAGAAATGAGATATTTATTGAACGTGTTCATAGTGCATTGACGAACGTCAGTATTTATTGATGTGTAAGGTCCACGGAGAAATTCATTGACAGTGACAGATCAATCAGTAAATAGTGATGGTGCGAACCACAGTAAATACTGATCTCGTGTAGCATTTGCCATAGGCAGTGGGGTTCAGAGTTGGTAGTGGCAGGTGAGCAGGAAAAAAACATGTATGCTCTTAATAGCACTAGAAGCAAAGGACAAACCTCAACCCGCCTGGAATATTGCCAATTTTTTTAAATCTACAAACAAAAGCTGAGAAAAAGACTGTTAAAAATAGGTGTATTCGGATTTTCAATAAGTACTTTTCAATAGACTACTTGACTCATATCTAATTTCATAGAATAAATGAGTATTTCTTACACTATTTGGCTTTGGAAAACGAAATATATCAATATCAAATTTTAAAAGCGCAAGTCCAATTTTAAATAAAATTACTTTTTATGTTGATACGAAACGGTGAAAACACTATCCGCCATGATGTGACGTCATACAAATTGTAAACAAAAAAACGTCATCCGTATATCATTCGTGGATTAACGTTGTCTTCCTTGGGTATTTCTAAAAAACTTCTAATCCAGGTAAAAACTTTTCTCGTTTTATTGAAAAAAACAATCATGGACGTTGGATAAGTATGATATTAACATAGGTTGTTTGGCAAGTTCTTGCGGTTTTTAACCTTCAAATTCAAACTAACATATCTCAGTTTTAACAAAACTTTATTATTCAAAATAAAAACCATTAGAATCAGTACACTTTTGCCAACGAGAAACAAGTTTATATACAGCTAACGTAGAAATCCGGAGTTCTGGCTATGAACGAAGGCATTTTTGGCAGCGTCATGGTTATTGAAGCATTTCTCGCGGAGGAAGTGGTCGAGGTGTTCGAAAAAGTGGTAGTCGGTGGGCGAGAGGTCGTTCAACTTTTGCAGGGTCGGCGTTGTGGAGAAGAATTGGCCTCTTCATATTGACCAATCTATGGGACATACGTCGGAACTTCTGATGCATTTCGTAGATTTATTGGCAGTACTTCTCCGCCTTCATCGTTGCGCTCGGATTTGGAAAGCTATGGTAGATCAGACCACCAATCAGTCACCATAACCTTTTTTGGATGGAGTTCCACCAGAGTCTTTAATTCGAAGCCTTTTATCATGTGGCGCTCTTTATCTTCAAGGCTCTCGTCACCGCTGCGGAATTTCTTGAACCACCATTGTGCCGTACGTCCGTTAATGGTTCCTGGCCAAATGCATCGTTGATATCGCGAGCTGTATCGGCAGCTTTTCGACCTGATTTGAACTGGAATAATAAAGTCGTGCGAATGCCTATATTTATAAGTCGTGAAAAAAACAAATTACCGTAATACAAAACGAATACATCGACTAGATATAGCGAAAAACACGCTTTAAAATCTTATATAAAGTCAAGTATTTATTTAAAAAAATGTTTTTGAATTAAAGTTTCAGTCTTTTAGGCCTGAAAAAATACAGTGTTATTTTTTTGATCTAATAGCACAAATATTAAAAAAGTGTCAACTAGTCTATTTTTAGTACAAGCACTCCACCACCAGTGTTACAAGCCCTTGAGCCGGCCCTGTAGACTTTCGAACCAGAAAGTATGAATTCTGAAAATGTCAAACTAGAATTTCAACACACAATGTAATGCCGAGTTATTCATGTAACAAATATGTATCCAAGCTGTGCTGTAGGTATGTCGTATACTTCAAGCAAATTACACTGTCTCATATTTTGCCAAATTAAAGGACTGAAGCGACTATTTGGAAAAAAGATAAAAATACACTAGTCCGACCTAGTTTATTGCTTGCGATTTTTCTAAAAATCAGCTGTAATTAAGTAGGATCCGGCGGCCAAATAATGTTTCTGCACATTATGCAAAAATAATATTTTATCCTTTTCTGGAACTGCTAATAACTCCTTTTGTAAATCTTTTTCAAAAATCAAATTCTGTAATGGCATTAAATTATTTTTTTCAAAAGGATTAATATTTGAAGGCATTGATTTAAAAGCTTTAATTACGTCTTGCTTGCAAATCTTGATGGATATCGAAATAACAAGGTCTTTCAACTCGGAATACACTTTATGAATTAATGGTTCCTCTTTCTGGAACATAGGAGTATATCTTGTAAATAAACTTATACTCGACAGCAAAAAGAGCATTTCACATTTTAAAGCTTTTTGCTTAAGGAAACCGCAAATGGTACTGTAACCAGAACTTTTCATTTGATGGTCTGCCTTGAGAGGTATAAACGTAAGAAAGCCTCCCATTGTTCCAAAATCATTTCAATAGCAGAACCTAAAGTTAGCCATCTGCTACTAACATGCTTTAAGAATTTGTGTTCTGGAACACTCTTTTTTCGTTGTATCGCACCTTGAAGGCCATCCATCAAAAAAATGATATATAGCTATAATTAAATTACAGCAATCTTCTCCTAACTCTTTGAGAGCCTTCAAAAAACTATTATGAACAGTATGGATGGTACATGACCCCATATCCATTAGCGCCTTACCTCGAATACTCAAAATATACTCATTGAGAAGGCGTAATGTCTTTTTATTAACGTTTGGACCATCGGTAGTGATGGAGATAAGTTTTGCTAATGGCAAGTTGGCATTATCTATTGCTTTTAAAATTGCACTTTTAAGATCTTCTGCCGTTGCGTGGCCCATATAAAAGCTTTCTAAACGAAATTATACTATTTGGCCTGCTTTTTTTGACCAAAACTTTATTCTTATTTGCAACTCTTTCTTTCCAGTATTATTGGTCGTCTTATCATATCGAAGTGAATAATAAGAATTTCTGGCTTCTTCAAGCATTTCATTTCTGAAATGGGGACCTAGCGCATCTGTAATAACTTATTTTTTTCGGACTTAAGGTACAGCACCTTCAGCTGGAAACATTTTCTTAAACAAACTAGCTATCCCAGATACTGAATCTGCCGAAAAGTTTGATGCTACAACTTTAAGGGCCCACATTAGCTCGGCTTTAACCGCTGCATTTTTACTGTTTGTTAGAGTAAGCAAAGAACTACCTGCTTTCTTCGAATCTTGAGACACTTGTATGTTTTGCGAAGAAAGCTTCCACGCAAAACGACCAGTTTTTGAGTTTTTTTGCAATAACCCTTATACTGATTCATTTATTGGCGTCGGCAGGACTATAATAAAAAATTTTCGTACAAAAACTTGTTTTGTGAAAATGAACAATGTTTTTATAAAAACCACAAGAAATAAACTTGCATTTTGGTGCTTTTTATTCGCCGTATTTTTTATATAGTCCTTAAGCTTTGGCACTTAAAGATTTATTTTGCTTGGAGTAATATTCCATAAACGTTTTTAATGTAATAGTAGTCAAGAAGTGTGATATTAGTTTTGTTAGTATTTTGCGAAAAATGTTATTAGAATAATTATTATACCGTTATAAGGAAGAATATACTAAACATTTGAACTACGTGGGCATGTAGAGAAAATACAAACGTTTCGACATTGTACTTATATTTGTTTATTCTTAGAAAATTAGGACTTGTGTATTTTAATTTATATGATACATTTTATTTTAACTACTTATATAGAAATGATCTGAAAATTATCGTTTTAAAAATAAGATCAGAAGATTGAAAGAGTGCAGTTACAATATTTTAGGTAGGATTGACAGTGTTCGAAAAACGTTAATTTTAAAGTACCAAATGCTTTGGGGCTATTACACAACCTCTGCAATCTTGAAGTCTAGGATGACACTGACACGACACATTCTTCTCGTGACCGGTGTTCGTATTTATGGGTACCCCGGAGGGGCGTTGCGACCCCTGATTTCTCGGCCATTCCATGGGTGGAACGGTTATTGAAATTGCATTGTTCTCATATTAATGATTATAGGCAACCAAGTCTTGTATATTTTAATAGCTTCCTCCGATTTGTTGAAGTTATCCGGATATTTTTCGATCTCAATGGCTTCTCTGTACAGAGTGTTTCTTCGAATTTAATTCGGTGACTTTGTTTTTATTAAAGTGTTCTGCCTCGGCAGTTGGCTTTATCTTCCCTCATTGTGGTATTTATTGATCTTTTACGTGTTCCTATATACAGGGCGTCCCGAAATTGAACCTCCAACTGTAGATAGATCACGTCAAAAACTGCCTTATATTCACTTAATCCAGTGCCATTTCTTGTTGAAGTTATAATAAAAAAAGGTCAGTTTTCGTAGATCAGAAAATAACAATGTTATGGCTTGGATACAAAAAAGGAGAGGATTGACGTTGAATGATAATTTACATTTAAGATATCCATGTAACGAGCACCACTGACTGCTATGCATGACCTACATTTTGTCATTAACCAAATAATAATCGCTCGAATGCTCGAGCATGCCTCAATTTTCGAGCTCAATCCTGTTACTGTGATCGGCACAGCTTGGTATACAAATTCTCAAAATCGACCCTAATAAAAACATCAAAGTGCGAGTGACATTAATACCATTCAAAAATTATCAATACTTGGCCAACTTTTTCGACAAACTGGCACAGAGACTTGATCTGCTCAGAGTCAGTCCCGTTCATTTTTTTGTACCCAAGCCATAAATTGTTATTTACCGATATCTACGAAAACTGACCCTCCTCCATTATAACTGCCAGAAAACGAAAAAGACAGCAAATGGTGGATCGTACTCGATCCTCTCACTCTACAGGGTGTCAAAATCATACGGGAGAAGGGGTTTTAATAAAAATTCAGACTTCGGTATGACTTTTATGCGGGTTTTTCGCCACCTCAAGGAAAAATAACGCTGGACGAGATGAAGTGCTTAATTCTGAGTGTTTTAAAACAAACCTGGTTCAAAAATTTGATATTTGTAGAAATGGCACGGGATTATCCGAATATAAGCCAGTTGTTCAATGAAAAAATTGAATGCTGATGATCTGGAAAAATTTTACCATCTAGTAGGCCATGACGTGACCTATCTACAGATGCGGGATTATCATTCAGTTTCACACACATATATAAAACTGGTTGTCTATAATAAAAAATACGAGAACCATACGGACACCAGTCACAAGAAGAGTGTCATTTCAGCATCACCATAGACTTCAAGATTGCAGAGTTTCCGAAGATGCAGAGCTCGTCAAGCGTTCAGAATCGCAGGCCGTGTAAGCCTCACACAATTCAACGTACATTTGATCGTTTCTTTCAATCTTTTGATAGCGTTTAAATAATCGAGAAAACGTGTTTCTCGAGTACTTACTCATAATCACTGTCATACAGTGGCAAAATGTACTTAATTTATGCTTTTGTATGTTTTATAATTTTATAACAAATTGAAAAATGTAAATATTTGTGGGAATATAAAAATACAAAATACAAGCACGTGTTTTTATAGCAAGCAGTATAAGAAAAAAATTATGCAATAAGAGATGTACATACATGCTGTATAAATACAGTTGATATTTGACAAATCGGTTAAGGCTTTCGCGACCAGTTGATAAACTGCCGTCTTGATTCTCTTCAGAGGTCCCTCCATTTCCGATGCTGGATGTAGACTGACGATTTCTCTTGCGCAGGTTGTATTTATACCGGAGGGTAGGGGACATGGCTTGTTCCGCTTCGGTAGACTTCGGGATGTCGATCGGCACTGCTCGGGTGTTTCTGAGGATCGGGTGCCAAATCGGGTTGAGTCTGAGGGTCTCTTCCTTCCTGTTAAAGTAATCTGGATGTTTGTGAATCTCGATAGCTTCCCTGACCAGTCTATTGTGATATCCGTTGACTGATGACAACAACCTGCAGCTCCCAAAGTGTATCATGTGGTCCCCATTGCTTAGTGCATGTTCAGCTACCTCAGACTTCTCGGTATACTTTGCCGCATGAACACGGTACGCGGTAGACTCCTGCAGCTGAGAGTGGGTCCTTCTGGTTCCTCCTGCTGCAACCATACGTGGGAAAGAGTACCAGCTACATCAAGGATTCCACCGACATCCTTGTGAACTTCGATGTCGTCTCCCTTTTCACCAAGGTACCGCTGAGGGAATGCCTGGATCTGGTGAGCAGGATCTTCCCTTCTGACATCTGCAAGCTCTTTGAAATCTGTCTCACTTTAAGCTACTTCGTATGGGACGGGGGCTTTTATGAGCAGACAGACGGAGTGGCAATGCGAAGTCCACTTAGCCCAGTTATAGCCAACCTTTTTATGGAACACTTTGAGAAGAAGGCGGTCGAGACATCGGAGAACAAACCAGCAATTTGGTTCCGGTACGTGGACGTCACCTTCGTGATTTGGAAACATGACACGGACAGGCTAAACGAGTTTCTGCAGCACCTCAACGATCGGCATCCAAGCATACAATTTACCATGGAGATAGAGAGTGACCAACAACTGGCCTTCTTAGACGTACTAGTCAGGAAGCGAGGTAACAAGCTGGGTCACACAGTGTACAGGAAACCAACGCACACAGACGGATACCTACACGCTTTGTCCAATCATCACCCAAGTCAGAAGTATGGGGTCATCAGAACCCTGACAGAACGAGCTCGCTCGAAGGATTTGCGAACCGGAAAACCTCTAGACAGAACTTGAACACCTGAAAACTGCGTTCGAAGCAAATGGCTACAGCAAGAGGGACATCGAAAGTTCTATGGGCTCGAGATCTGCCAGGCCACGAGAAACCAAACAGCGTCCCACCACCTCTCAAGCGTATCTTCCATTTGTGCCAAGAGTCACGGACAGGATTGGCAGAGTCCTAGAGACATGACATTAAAACATTCTTCAAGCCTACGAAGAAGATCCAACCAACCATCAGATCGGCAAAGGACAAGAAGTACCCACTCTCAGCTTCAGGAGTCTACCGCGTACCGTGTTCACGCGGCAAAGTATACATTGGAACCACGAAAAGATCAATGGGAATCGCCGGCTAGGACAAACTGAGAAGTCTGCGGTAGCTGAACATGCATTAAGCAATGGGGACCACAGGATACACTTTGGGAGCTGCAGGTTGCTGTCATCAGTCAACGGCTATCACAATAAACTGGTCAGGGAAGCTATCGAGATTCACAAACATCCAGATAACTACAGCACGCAGGAAGAGACCCTCAGACTCTACCCGATTTGGCACCCGATCAGTGCCAATCGACATCCCGAAGTCAACCGAAGTGGAACAAGCCACGTCACCTACCCTCCGGTATAAATACAACCTGCGCAAGAGAAATCGTCAGTCTACATCCAGCATCAGAAATGGAAGGACCTCTGAAGAAGCTTGCCACTCGTGCTAGCGAAACGTTAGGAAGAAATTCCAACCGACATAGACCTTTAGACCCGAATCAAGACAGCAGTTTTACAGTTGATATTTGAGGAAACGTATGTCCTAAAACTGTTGGCGCAAAATTCACTGGCTTTAATTTTAACAAACACAAATTAATAAGGTTTGTTTACTTTACTGTCAGCTGACATTTAGGAGGAATGGTCTTAAATATCGAAAGAGAGTTAAGTGTCCCAAATACTCTCCGCTCAACTCCTTCGTTAAACCAAGATGCTGTCGTCAACTGAGACCTTGCCAATGGAAAAATCATTATTTTAGATGACGAAAAGTATTTTACTTCGAGTAATTCTGAAATGAAGGGAAGCGACGGATTTTATACAAACAACGTAGAGGAATGCCCTGCAAACATAAAGCGAAAGTTGCAAATAAAGACCTTTCGAACTGGTGTATCCCAACCTTTTGTTGGAAGAGTCAGGGGTGAAGCTTTAAATAGTCAGAGCTATATTGATAACTGCCTTTCCAAATTGCTTCTGTTTGTCCACGAACATCATGCTAATGACCATATTATGTTTTGGCCAGACCTAGATCATGCCATTACTCCATGAATTTCAAAAACTGGCATCGACAAGGCAGCATACCTTTTGTTCCCAAAAACGATAATCCTCAAAAACTTGCTTGCCCAATAGAGGATTTTTGAGCTATACTGTCCAGGAAGGTTTATCATGGAGAATGGAAAGTCCAAGATGAAGAACAATTAAGACGGCGAATTAACGAAAAACTAAGAGAAATTGATTTGAGTTCCGCCCAGGACCTCACGAGAGACATTCATCTGGTAGAGCAAAATGGACCACTCCACATAATTGGATAGTATAGTTTAGTTAGGGTAAAATCGGGCAAAAGGGATATAGTGGGCAAAAGGAATCAGCTAAATAAATGAAAACAGCTTCATCACAGAAACCTGACAACGCTGTTTAACAATTCGCTGAGTATGGCACAAGTTCATGAGCAACGCGTTCCCTCGTGCTAAAGTTTTTACCTCATATTTTTTAAGGTGTTCCAATTAAGTACGTCTTGAATAGTTGTTCAAAGGATTTTTGAAGAAGGGTAAGTAGTGACTCAGCCATTTATTCAAAACGATTTAGTTAATAATCGAAAGATTGGCACTTCTACTTTTCTACCTAACCTTGAAAATATGTCCATTGTTGCCAGCGTCTCGTAAATTTTTATTTCCTTTGTGACAGTGCATTTCGGGCAAGAGGAATCAGGCAAAAGGGATCATGATTCCTTTTGCCCGTATATCAATTTTCGATTTTCATGTAGGTATGTAATTTTCGCTTCTTTTCTAGATGGTTTTCAACTATAAAAGAAAGTCGGAACGAGGAAGCACCTGGACAGAAACATCCATGGAACATGCATTGCAAGCAGTGCGTAACGGGGAGACGATAAGAAAAGCGTCTTTAATATATAACATTCCATTCTCAACGCTCCTTAAGCATGTGAAGTCTAATAAAACTACTAAATCTCTGGGCAGATTTAAGACGGTTTTCACTCCAGAAGAAGAACAAGAATTTGTTACCCATATCAAAGAGCTTGATAGCCGTTTTTATGGGCTTACGCGACGAGATCTTTGTATGTTAGCATATCAATACGCCGAAGCGAACCACATTATTCATTGTTTTAAAAATAATGCAGCGGGTCAGCAATGGTATCAAAATTTTATGAAGAGACATCCTGAGTTAAGCTTACGGACACCTGAGCCGACCAGTGTTGCACGAGCCAGTGGCTTTAATCGCCCACAAGTGGAGAGGTTTTTCGAAAATTTGAGGGACGTCATCGAGAAAAACAATATTTTGCCTGAAAATATGTACAATGTAGATGAGACAGGGATCCAAACCTCTACAAATAGGCCTCCTAAGGTTATTTCCCTGAAAGGCAAAAAGGGAGTTGGAGCTATATCTTCCTCCGAGCGAGGCACACTAGTAACGGCACTGTTTTGTTGTTCCGCTGCTGGGGCATATATTCCTCCTACACTAGTTTTACCAAGGAAAAAGAAAAATCCAAGGTACATGGAAGGAACTCCACCAGGCTCTTCTCAGTTAGTAACTGATTCTGGATGGATAAGTTCCGAAGCTTTCCTGGAGTGGATGAAGTTTTTTGTAAGCAACGTTAGACCAAATGAAGACCATAAATGTCTATTAATCTTAGACAATCATGCTTCTCATAGGTCTATTGATGTCCTTGATTATGCCTCTCAGAATAATGTCATCATTTTGTCGGTTCCACCCCACAAGACACACAAGCTCCAGCCGCTAGATGTGTCCGTTTATGGCCCTTTCGGAACTTATTTCCAAAATGAAATTGACAAGTGGCAAAAAGCGCATCCTGCACAACGCGTTACGTTGTTTGATGTTGGCAAAATTTTTAATAATGCCTACCTTAAAGCTGCAACACCAACAAACGCTATAAAAGGTTTCGAAAAAACTGGCATTGCAAGATGTGATTTAGATGTTTTTTCCGAAGTGGACTTCCTTCCAGCAGATGTAACTAACATTGAAGAACCAGAGGTCCGTATTAACCATAATCCTCAAGATATGGATGTTATTGAAATTGGACCGCCCAATACATCTGCCCATAATGATATCGCAAAACCTGAACCTTCTGTTCTCAATAATAGTACGACCTTAAAACAAGCTAGTGACGCTCCAAAAGGAAATAATCGCATTAAAATTATTGATATTCATATTATACCTAAATGTGATAAACGAAAAGAACCCAAAACAAAAAGGAATCAACAGAAATAAGAGATTTTGACTTCTACACCAATTAAAGAAGAAATTAGAGAAAAAAGTAAGAGCAAAGAATGTGTCAAAAGCGTTAGAAGGAAGATCCAACAAGAGACAGATTCCAGCAAACTGAAAATACCTCGTCAACCTTCACCACCGAAAACCGCTCCAGATGAAGAAGAAACTCCATGTTTGATATGTGACGATTCCTTTGAAAACTCCATTCCAGGCAAACACTGGATACAGTGCAATTTCTGTGAGAAGTGGGCACATCAGAAATGCACAAGCTACAAGACTGGAATTTATATTTGTCAAGATTGTCAAAATCAGGTCAAAGATCAGAGAACATAATTGAGTTAAGAATAATTATAGAATACCTTTTTCAGTTTCTACTAATAATAGTTTTTTTTATTTTATATACATATATCAAGATTAATAAAATCAGGTTAAAGATTAGAGAAAATAATTAGGTTAAGAGAATAATTATTGTAAGAGTTACCATTTTCAGTTTTCCTTAATGATAATATATATTTTTTTATTTTCCATATTATATTTTTTCTTTTGAATCCTTTTGCCCTCACCTCTGATTCCTTTTACCCTAGAGGGTCGGGCAAATAGAATCAAATACAGTCTTTAATAATTTAGGCCGTAACTTGCTCAAACTATATTGTAAAGTTAAAATAGTAGTGTTTAATGTTTCTGAAATAATTAAAATCCACATAAAAGTATTCAGTTAGATCATTTTTTAATAATTTCGTGCTATGAATTGGCACTCTCCGAAAGTGATTCCGGCTGCCCGTGTCTCCCCTAAGTATTGAGTTGTAATTTATGAAAGTGCTTAAATAAGCTTCTTCATTAAAAAAAAAATCCGATAAATATTTTGTGCCAACTTTTAGGACATATAGTAATGGACAAAAGTATATAGTCAAATATGAATATTTACCTAAATACCTGTAGAAAACGAATTCATACTTCATTGCTCCATAAACAAATGCGTGTAAAACTAAATTCCTTGTTTTTACATTATCTGCAATGAACACAATGCAAGTCTGAATATAAGCACTTTTTTTATGAGGGACAACAATATGTACACAAATTCTTTTCAACATTAGTTTAGTACAGTTTCGTGTCAGAAGAGGATTAGTTTGTGTTCATCAAGTATTGTGGAATAAGTTTAGTGATTTTAAGACCATGCCGCGTGGACCAGAAATTTATTTCGATGTGAAAACTAAGTTCATTGAGTTATACAAAGATGGTCAATGTCAAGTCAACATTGCCGAAAATTTGAAGCTGAAGCGTGAAGCAGTTTGGGCAATATTGAACACATATAAACAAAAGGGTATCTTGGAAGCCTCTAAGAGAAGTGGTCGGCCTAGAAGACTAAATGCTAGATCAGTTAGATTGATAAAAGTAATTTCGTCCAAAGATCCATTTAAAACCCCAAGTCAAATAAAAGCCGAAATCGAGACAAAAGGAATTGTCAGTGTTTCTACGAAAACTATAAGTAGAAGATTAAATGATTTGAAGTTATATCTCACGTCCATTCCGAAGATGTATTTAACTAAGGTAGTAGTACGCTCATGCGTACTGCGCGCCACACATTTTTAAGATGAATAGTAGCGCGAGCGCGGATATGTTCTTCCCGCTCGCCGCCGTCCGCTGTAACTGCCTCCCCGTTTCATTCGCTTTTATGTGTGCGTCGCGTCCACACGTGTAGTTTCAGTGCCCGGCTCCGCAACAGACGAAAAACCAATAGTACAGGTATGATAGTATTATTTTGCTATTCACGACATTCATAGAATGTTCTGTTACATCAGGATAATACGAAATAATGATATTTTTATTGGCACAGTCCCAGATTTTTCTTTTGCATTTTCTCAATTTCACGAACAAGGCTTCCTAGTTTACTTGCTGTGCATTTAATGTTAATTCGAGAAAGTGAACTATTATATACTAATCACGTTAAAATCGTTCTGGTGAGCAACTATTTCTCCACAGGGCTTGTTTTACAGCATGGGGAAACGCAAGAGAAGCCGATCCAGCGACAAACTATCGCGTAGAGACTTACAAAAAACAATTAATGAGCTTCGCGATAGACTAAACAGGCAGGAGCGAGATCGTAGGTCCCATTCACGTCGGCACAGTCGAAGCATTTCTCCGAAGAGGCCCCGCTCTAGTTCGCGCAGTCGATCCTTAGTACAGGACCGTACTTCGATAAAAAGAAGGGGGGTGCCAGATTCGGAGGATCGTAACCACAATTATACGACTCGGAAACGTCGAACTTTGGACAAACCGACTTCCGAATATCAATACGCTAGGAATTCATCGAGAGAACGTCGGGTTTCGCACAGCCCAACCTCCAATCGATACCAAAATCCTAGAAATACATCGAGAGAGCGTCGGGTTTTGAACAGCCCGACTTCTTCACGATTTTCAAAAGAAAAAATAGACCGACGTAGCATGAGCCGAGCCTCGTACGACTCGGCGAGTGTCACCAGTGGTAGAAGCCCGGCATCGAACTGTCCGGCTATAAACCAAGACCATCCGGAACTGGATGACCTAGATACACTCGTACTCCAAGACGGCATAAATTTACAAGCTGAAAACACTGAGAATGAGGCGGAGCAACTTCCAGAGTGCATTAAAGAGGTATTAGGCATTGACACTGACACAGAAACAAAACAGTCCTATCATCTCAATGATGCTATAAGACAAGTTGGTCACAAACAATAGCCCAAGGCATAGGAAAGGAAAATATGGATCAAATTTTGGATCGCCATAGGCCTCCCAATAATTTTCCTACTCTTGATCCTCCAAAAGTCAACCCGGAAGTTGCTCACATTCTTTCTCAAGCATATGTTAAGAGGGACCAATGCCATGCAAGATATCAGCTATTGGTGGGAAAAAGTACAAGTGCGCTTGGCAAATGCATGAATTATGTCATCAATGAAATCAAGAATAATGTTGATTCTGATCTAAAAATGCACTTGCTACCACATCTAGCAGATGTGGGCACATTCATGACCCAGCTATTCCATGAGATCTCGACGACCCGTAGGGAATATATTTCACAACTTCTCTCCAAATCGGTGAAAGATACCATCAAAGAGACTATTCCGGGGGAATATCTATACGGCACCGATTTGGCAGAAAAGATTAAAATGGCAAAAATTGCAGAAAAAGCTGGGAACGACTTAAGACAAGACGGTTATAGCAACAAGGCAGGGCCATCCGGCATCAGAAGAGGGGGGGGGCACACCTCTCAGCGCCAGCATGGTACCTCCAAAACTGCATACAATGCTCGTACTCCATATAAAGCGACTAGCTACCGCCCGTCTTTAAACAGGCAACGCCCGCCTCGCCAGTCAGGGAGGGACTCGGGGCCGAGGAAAGGGCAAACCTCCAAGCAAAGTCGCCCCCCAGGGAGCAGATACCAATAAAGGTAAGTCATTCTAAGCTAGCGGGCAGACTATCCCATTTTGTCGAGTCTTGGAAATGTATAACGAACAATTCCACAGTTCTATCCTGGATTAAGGGATATAAGATCCCTCTCTTAGCAACACCTGTTCAGAAACAGAATCAAACTGCCCACACTCAGTGCGACCCTTTGATTGCCTTGGCAATCAGGGAGCTACTAGATATCGGAGCAGTATCATCATGTACGGAGAGGAAAGACCAGTACGTTTCAACTTACTTCCTAACTGAAAAATCCAACGGAAAGAAACGGTTCATTTTAAATTTGAAAAAATTTAATGAATTCGTGAAATACGAGCATTTCAAAATGGAAGATTTTCGGACAGTACTAAAACTATTGCAAAAGCAATACTGGATGGCAACCATCGATCTAAAAGACGCATACTTCCTAATATCAATAGACAAATCATTTAGGAAGTATTTGAGGTTCAGGTTTAATTCTAATACATTTGAATTCAATTGCTTACCATTTGGTCTCTCGTCAGCACCGTACTGTTTCACAAAAATAATGCGACCCGTCCTGGAAAACCTGCGTACTCAAGGGATTCTGTTGGTCAACTATTTAGACGATTTCCTAGTCATCAGTGACTCGTCTGAAAAATGTAGGGAACACACAAAAATTGTGGTAAACACATTACAGTCCATAGGTTTCATCATAAACTTTGAAAAAAGTTCGTTGACCCCAGAACAGAGAAAAATATTTTTAGGATTTCAATACGACACCAAAAATATGAAAATATCCCTACCGTCGGAAAAGAAAACGTCCATTAAAAACATGTCAACGTCTTTCCGAAAAAGGGATACATGCAGTATAAGAGAACTTGCACAGTTCATAGGCACCTTAACCGCAGCCTGCCCTGCGGTTAAGTACGGCTGGTTGTACACCAAGCGTTTGGAACAACTAAAGTGCTCAGCTCTAGAAGCGAACAACTACAACTATAATTGTATAGTAGTCTTACCACATAACTTTATAGATAATGACCTAATCTGGTGGGAGCGAAACATCTTAAATGCGGAAGCCGATATTAAACAGACAGGCTATAGTATGACAATATTCACAGATGCCTCACTGACTGGGTGGGGTGCATGTAGAGGACACGACAAAACCCATGGGTTTTGGTCCAATCCAGAAAAAGATAATCATATAAATTACTTAGAACTTACAGCTATTCTTTATGGCTTAAAATGTTCCGCCCGGGATGCAAGGAACTGCAGTATTCTGATTAGATCAGATAACACGACGGCAATATCTTGCATCAACCGTTTGGGCAGTATACAATCTACCAAGCTCAACAACAGAACGCGAGACATCTGGGAATGGTGTCAAGCCAGAAATATTTGGGTATTCGCTTCATACGTCAACACAAAGGACAATCTGGACGCAGACAGGGAGTCCAGAGTAGTCTCAACCGAAACAGAATGGTCTCTGGCAGATTCAGCATTCGATGTTTTAAAACACGAATTCGGATCTCCTGACGTTGACCTTTTTGCCTCAAAAATAAATCACAAATGTCGACGATATGTATCATGGAGGAAAGATCCGGATTCGGTCGCAGTTGATGCATTTACTATTAGCTGGACCGATATTTATTTTTATGCATTCCCCCCATTTTGCTTAATATTGAAGGTGTTACAAAAAATTATCCAGGATAAAGCTGAGGGAATTGTAGTAGTACCAGACTGGCGTGCCCAGGCATGGTATCCGCTTGTAGAGAAACTACAAGTTGGAAGATCTGTTACTTTTGGACCTGACGATAATCTTCTGACTTCTCCTTTCAGTTCAACCCACCCTCTGGCCAACAGATTAACATTAGTGGCCGCGAAATTATCCGGCAGGGGTTTCAACTGAGAGGAATATCGGATGAGGCGGTAGAGACCATAATCGATTCAATATCGACAGCTACGATCAGCCAGTATGCGTGTACTTACCGTCTATGGTATAAGTACTGTGAAGAGAAGCAGATACCAGTATTTCAGGCAAACGTCCTGCAGGTAATAGAATTCCTTCAGAACATTATCAATACAACTGAACTAAATTATGGAAGTTTAAACAGCCACAGATCTGCGATCTCCCTTATATCCTCCGATAGCCTAGGTTCACACCCCCTGATAAAACGGTTCATGAAAGGGGTAGCCAGAAGACGACCAATGAACCCCAGGTATAGGTTCACGTGGGATCCTCAACCAGTTCTTACAGCATTAGGAAATCTCCCTAACAACCAACTTAAAAGCCTCACCCACAAACTGGTGACCCTACTTTCACTGGTAACAGGTGGCCGCCTTCAAACGATCTCTTTAATCCGGGTATCAAACATTCACAGAGACGAAACCAGATTACAAATAATGATTACGGACCCAGTAAAGACGTCACTTAGCCTCAATGATCAGCCTTTTCTGAGTCTCCCGTTCTTCACACCAAATCCCAACATATGCCCAGCCTCAACAGTGCTGCAGTACTTAGAGTCAACGAAAGAAATCCGAAATAATGAAGATTTCTTATTTTTAACTTATGTAAAACCCCATAAAAAAGCAACAAAGCAAACCCTTGCCCGTTGGGTAAAACAGACACTTATGTCATCGGGAGTAAATACGACTGTATTTAAACCTCATTCAACTAGGCACGCAGCAACATCAGCAGTCCGTAGGGCAGGGCTGTCGGTAGACACTATTTGTAAAACTGCAGGCTGGTCTCAGAAGACGGCAACCTTTGCAAGGTTCTACGACCGACCACTACAAGCGGATGATGACTTTGCAAACACGATACTCTCAACGAGTATAAATTAGAATATTTTCACCTTATTTTACTTTTGCTATGATAGCAGTTTTGTTCAACTTATTTCGTATATAAAACATCAATGCATATGTTTGTGGTTTGTATCTTTGAACATCTACCTTAGTTAAATACATCTTCGGAATGGACGTGAGATATAATTTAACGATCAAACGAACTTACCTGAAGTTCGATCGTAATTATATCGATCGTCCATTCCGAAGATGTAGAAACCCCCCCTCCCTGAAATGCAGTGGCTTTTCACCCTGCTCATATGCATTGAAAAACAATCTTTGAAGGAATGAAACGGGGAGGCAGTTACAGCGGACGGCGGCGAGCGGGAAGAACATATCCGCGCTCGCGCTACTATTCATCTTAAAAATGTGTGGCGCGCAGTACGCATGAGCGTACTACTACCTTAGTTAAATACATCTTCGGAATGGACGATCGATATAATTACGATCGAACTTCAGGTAAGTTCGTTTGATCGTTAAATTATTTGCACGTCGGCCGAGTAAGAAGCCGCTAATCTCGAGGAAAACCGTAAGGACCGATTACAATTTGCACGGTTGTATCTTTATTGCAGCATTTGTGACTGGAAGAAGGTATGTTTCAGTGACGAATCCAAGTTCAATATGATCAGATGGTGTTCATTACATTAGACGTCCTAGTGGACAAATATTGAACCCCAAGTACACTTTGCCCACTGTCAAACATGGAGGCGGGTCTGTTATGGTTTGGGGGTGCTTTTCGGGGTTTGGGATGGGACCTTTACATAGAATAGATGGCATTATGGATAAGTTTGTATACACAGACATACTAAAGCATGTCATGTTACCCTATATGGAAGACAATATGCCCTTAAGATCAATCTTCCAGCAAGATAATGACCCGAAGCACACTTCAAATCTCGCAAAGAAATTCTTTCTGGATGAACAAATACCAGTTCTCAAACGGCCTTCACAGTCTTCCGATATAAACCCCATTGAAGATCTATGCGAATACTTAGGCAAATACGAAACAAGGATGAACTTTTTGCCGCTTTAGAGACAGATTTAATTATGTATAAAGGTTGGTGTATTAATAAAACAAGTTAAAAAATAAATACAGCACAATATTAATTTGTCTATATACTTTTGCCCATTACTGTACGGTCCTCCCCTTTTTCTCCTCCTCAGTGAAAAGGTATGATGTTTTGTGGTACAATGTAAGTCAGTATCCACACTAGGTATAGGTTAACATGTTGACTTGCTAGTCGCATTTAAAAAACCAAATTGGCTAGAACAATAACGTAGTTATCGATATGTTAGTTTACTGAGAGGATCTTCAAGATCCTATTGATACTCCGTGAGCTTAGTCAAGTTAGTCACAACGTCGACCTCGGTGGTTTGTTTTATCGTACAAAAGCCAGTTGGGTGTACATAGTAGAAGACCTAGACATCAGCTCCAAATGTTACAAATTTAGAAAAAGGTAAACAAACTCGTAATTTTAAATTTTTTTCACCTCCATTTTTACATTTTACTGCAAATTAGCTTTGATATTTCGAACGTAATAGCTTCTGAAAAGTCCCGACTTTCAAAATACCCTATATACTGTCTACTGACTCCAATACTTGAAGCAACATACTTTCGTAGGTTTTAGAGTGGATACTACTTTCATATTTTATTTGTTTCATATGCTTCGAAAAAAATGTATGGTTGATTTGGATGAAACTGCATATATTAGGAAAGCTAACTAGTGTCATCTACATCTACTTTAAATAATATTCACATGGTTCGCTGTAATCTTATTTAATAAATTTGAAATGCAAGACTCAGGTATCTTATAAAAATAAAAAAAATCACATATCCATTATGTTTTAAATAGTTTTCAACCTGGACACCAACATGTATAAATGTCTGATATTTAAAAAAAAAATATTAATAAAATAGAAATTCACTGTCACATGGGAGTAGTACAAGTGAAAACCTGCGGTTTTAAAGTTTTGCAGTAGCAGCTTTTTTCTGGGAAACCTTCAGCCAAGCTTCAAGTGGTTTATGCGCTTCATCATAATATGGTTGACATTCACTTCTCACGTTTCCCAACCACGTTCTAATTTTGGGGAAATGATCCCTAGGTTGATAGCCAGCCAACCCTGAAAATGTAACTGTTTGAATCATAAATCTAACAATAAAAAAATGGCGTCAGTTCATAAAGGATTATGTCCAGAAGTTAAGCCCTATCGAAATAACACAGCACCATAGACCTTATATACTAAGTGACATATAAATCCGAACACCCAGTAATGGTTTTATTTTAATAAAAGTTGGTGAATGTATTTATCTTACTGTAAATAACAAGTGAAAAAATTTTCAGCCTTAGCAGTTGGACATTCCGGTTTTTATACTGCTTTTTTTTATTCACTAACGCTCTAAAAATGAATATTTCAGCCGCAGTAAAGAATCAACGTTGGCGGATTTTGGTCCTTGACATCCTTTACGATCGGTTACGATGCCTAGAGTACGGAGACCTGTACGATTTCGTCAACTTAGTGAGTTTGATAGGGGCCGTATAGTGGGACTTCGGGAAGCTGGACTTTCATTTCGGGCAATTGCAGTTAGAGTGCAAAGAAGTGTAGACACTGTGGTTAGGTGTTGTCAGGCATGGCTTCGAGAAGGCCGTACGCAAAGAGCAAGGGGCACTGGACGCCGCCGTAGAACAACAGACCGTGAAGATCGCCGCCTAAGATTATTGGCCTTATGGGACCGTTTCTCCATTATCAGGTCCATTGCTAATGAATGGTTTGCAGAACCCGGAAGGCCTATTGGCATGCGAAGTGTTTACCGACGAATGAGAAGTTTTGGCTTGTTTTCATGCCGGCCACATTGGGTCCTCCCTTTAACTCGAGAACACCGACGTAATCGCCTTGAGTGGTGCAGACAACGGTCACTCTGGGATCAGGAATGGAACAGATTGTCTTTAGTGACGAGTCTCGATTTTGTTTAGGCATGCACGATGGTCGTGCCAGGGTTAGAAGGCGACGTGGTGAAAGGAGGAATCCACAGTTTTTTGTTGAAAGACATGTTCATCACACTGTTGGAGTTATGGTTTGGGGTGCTATAGCTTATGGTTCCAGGTCACCTTTAATCTTCATCAGAGGTAACATGAACGCGCAGCGTTATATCCACGAAGTTCTAGAACCCCATCTTTTATCCTATCTTGACACCCTGGCAGATCCAACTTTCCAACAAGATAATGCCCGACCACATGTTGCAAGAGTCACAATAGACTTCTTTCAACATAATGATGTCACATTGTTACCATGGCCACCAAGATCTCCCGACTTATCCCCAATTGAGCACGTGTGGGATATGATGGGTAGGAGATTGCTCAATTTGCAACGTCCTCCTCAGACTCTAGAAGCACTTCGAGAGGAGTTGGTGGTTGCCTGGAATGAGATACCACAGGAGGACATTGACCACCTGATCAGAAGCATGCCTAGGCGCGTTGGAGAATGCGTAGCACATCAGGGTGCATCCACACATTATTAAAGGTCAAAGGGCTTTAAAGCAGTGCAATCATTTTGAAATTTTTATCATTTACTTATTATGCTTCATTAAGTACTTTAACAAAATTTTATTAAAATAAAACCATTTAAACTGGGTGTTCGGATTTATATGTCACTTAGTATATCTTGGATAGAGAATAATAGTAATAATTTATTCGGTATCCACTATTACAACTGCATCAGCATGTAACACAAAATACTCGAATAAATAAAATATCCACAGAAAGGATCATACATTCCTGGTGACGACAATTATATAACAAAATAATAAGTTTGGGGATAGTTCCTTGTAATTTTTTAAGGGTGCTCAGACAGTATGTATAAAACAGAAACACGTAATTTCTTTACTTGGTTGTTCAATTTCACAAGCAGCTTGTAAATCAGCAAATGATATCTCTGTGCCGGTAATGAAGGGAGCTTCACTAGACAAAAATATTCTCTCAAAATCTGTCAGCGATTTTTCCATTGCTTTCAAATTCTTTTTCACAAGCTCATCTGACGGAGGTTTACCAGTCATCATTGGATGCATCACCTAAAACAAACCAAATTCTATAAAGTAGGTGAGAAAATTCTCGAAAAACGAAAGCTGCCGAGTTTTTGTGCTGCTTAGATCCCATCACCCAATAATAAACCAAATCATCATAATTTATTTACAAGTAAATATAAATAGCAAGCTACAGTAATCATTTATAGGTCCAGATTCCATGACACTTTTTATACCCCGATAAACCCATGGTTCAAATGCAGTTTATGTCAAAAGTTACAAATAGAACAAAGACGTTAAACTAGGCGGCACGCCATAGCTTGTTCCCAAATATCTACTTTTAGTGCCTCCTATTGTGACACACTGCGTGACATATAAATCCGAACACCCAGTTTAAATGGTTTTATTTTAATAAAAGTTGGATGTATTTATCTTACTGTAAATAACAAGTGAAAAAATTTTCAGCCTCATCAGTTGGAAATTCCGGTTTTTATACTGCTTTTTTTTTAATTCACTAACGCTCTAAAAATGAATATTTCAGCCGCAGTAAAGAATCAACGTTGGCGGATTTTGGTTCTTGACATCCTTTACGATCGGTTACGATGCCTAGAGTACGGAGACCTGTACGATTTCGTCAACTTAGTGAGTTTGATAGGGGCCGTATAGTGGGACTTCGGGAAGCTGGACTTTCTTTTCGGGCAATTGCAGTTAGAGTGCAAAGAAGTGTAGACACTGTGGTTAGGTGTTGTCAGGCATGGCTTCGAGAAGGCCGTACGCAAAGAGCAAGGGGCACTGGACGCCGCCGTAGAACAACAGACCGTTAAGATCGCCGCCTAAGATTATTGGCCTTCAGGGACCGTGTCTCCACTACCAGGTCCATTGCAAATGAATGGTTTGCAGAACACGGAAGACCTATTGGCATTGGAAGTGTTTACCGACGAATGAGAAGTTTTCGCTTGTTTTCATACCGGCCACACTGGGTCCTCCCTTTAACTCGAGAACACCGACGTAATCGTCTTGAGTGGTGCAGACAACGGTCACTCTGGGATCAGGAATGGAACAGTATTGTCTTTAGTGACGAGACTCGATTTTGTTTAGGCATGCACGATGGTCGTGCCAGGGTTAGAAGGCGACGTGGTGAAAGGAGGAATCCACAGTTTTTTGTTGAAAGACATGTTCATCACACTGTTGGAGTTATGGTTTGGGGTGCTATAGCTTATGGTTCCAGGTCACCTTTAATCTTCATCAGAGGTAACATGAACGCGCAGCGTTATATCCACGAAGTTCTAGAACCCCATCTTTTACCCTATCTTGACACCCTGGCAAATCCAACTTTCCAACAAGATAATGCCCGACCACATGTTGCAAGAGACACAATAGAGTTCTTTCAACATAATGATGTCACATTGTTACCATGGCCACCAAGATCTTCCGACTTATCCTCAATTGAGCACGTGTGGGATATGATGGGTAGAAGATTGCTCAATTTGCAACGTCCTCCTCAGACTCTAGAAGCACGTCGAGAGGAGTTGGTGGTTGCCTGGAATGAGATACCACAGGAGGACATTGACCACCTGATCAGAAGCATGCCTAGGCGCGTTGGAGAATGCGTAGCACATCAGGGTGCATCCACACATTATTAAAGGTCAAAGGGCTTTAAAGCAGTGCAATCATTTTGAAATTTTTATCATTTACTTATTATGCTTCATTAAGTACTTATACAAAATTTTATTAAAATAAAACCATTTAAACTGGGTGTTCGGATTTATATGTCACTTAGTATAACTAGAAATCAGCTTGTAGGACATTCCAACGTGTCTAGCAAATTTTGATGACATAAGGTGTCGAAAGCCTTGGACAAGTCTACAAATATACAAAGAGTTGGAGTTGATGTATCAACAGCCGCATTTATTTGTGATAGAAGATAAGAAATTGAATCTTCAGTTGCCCTTCTGAATGATATACTTATTTAGAAAAGAAGATGTTCTTGAATATAGAATTTTTTCAAGTATTTCAGCAAAAACTGAGAGTAAAGAAACAGGCCTATAGTTATTAACCTCTTTTTTGCGACCGGATTTATGAAGTGGCTTAATTACAGAAACCTTCAAACATTTTGGAAAGATGCCTACTAAAATACACCGATTCAATAAGTAAGTTAGTGGTCTGATAATATACTGGCAGTATTGTTTCAAAATTTCGGCTCTAATGTGATCTACCCCTGGTGACTTGTTATATTTTAGGGTTTGTATTATGTTTGCTACCTCACGCTCGGTGGTCTCTGCTATAAAAATTGAATTACAAAGTCTTTTTTGTGAGTGGTTTATTTTTTAATGAGGAATTTTGCTAGCTAGCCTCGATCCGATATCAGTGAAGTGTGAGATAAAAATCTCCGCAATCTCTGGAGCACTTGATACACTACTATTTATAGTCTTAACGCAGTTCGACAATGCTTTTGGGTCAGACAAGTTTTGTGAAACTAAATTGCTGTAATATTTGGATTTGGCAGTTCTTAACATGTCTGTTAACTGATTTCTATAGTCATTGTATTCTTTCATTAGGTTAGTGATATTTGGATCCTTCTTTAATTTTGTGCACAATTCGTTTTTTCTATTCACTGATGTAACCAAAGCCTTCGACATCCACCGTGATCTTTGAATGTCATTGTGTTAAGTTTTACTTTACTATTTGTATTTTATTTTTAACCAAAGCGACGCAATAGTGTATATGGCAAGTCATATACAGGGTGGCGCATCGAAAATGAAACAGACGCATTTACTATCAGCTCAGTTTTTTTTTTTGGAAAAACGCTCAGACCCGTCAATTTTGTTTTCGAGGGGGACACAAGTTTAGCAAAAAATCACGTTAACACGCGCATCCCCCTGGGCGGGGGTGACACCAACCCTAAAATCTTAAATGGAAAGGGGGGTCGAGTGATACCTTATTTTAAAGGTCTTTCAATTCGCTTTATAATGATGTAAAATACATGAGCTTCAGTTCAGTAGTTTTGAAGACTTATTGATTTAAAGCTTAAAGTAGACTTTGATAGGTACGTCAGATTAGTTTGTACTACTTTCAGAAGAAATTTGACTAAAATATTTTACTTAACAAGTAAATGCTTTTCTTCACTACGCCCATGGTTTGTTTATCATTTTGTTGTTGAAAATAGCTATTGGAGCGTTTTTTGTGGCAAAAAAGTTATTTCTTGAAGAAAGATAAGGAAACATCTCGTACTTATTTTAAATAGGAATTTAGTACATAGTTTGCGATTCATTTGACCAAACTTAGTTGCTAAAATAACTTGTAACCTTTATTAGATAAATTAACCATGGTATATTCCAGCAGAAAGAATTGAAATTATCGAAATATTTTTTCAGTAGTTTTGAAGAAAACTGAGCTGGCAGTAAATGCGTCTGTTTCGTTTTCTATGCGCCACCCTGTATAGTATAAATTATTAGGTAAAACATAAAAAAACAGCAAACACCACAACAGATAAAATGTATACTTACAAAACACACCTACCTTTGCTAAAGCACCTAGAATTCGGCATCAAAACATTCATGTATTGAGTGAAAGGAATTGCTCTGCAAAAACAATTTCACACTGTCCTTGAATTTATTATAATGTTCTATTTTTCTAAGGTGAATAGGTAGTTTATTAAATAACATCACACAGTTATAATATGGTGACTGCTTAAAATGTGATGTGGTGTGATTTTGTACAGCTAGGAGATGTTTCTAGTCTGATATGAATGATAATACCCTAGAGTTGTGAAAATATTCTGATTCGCTTTAACAAAGGTAACACATTTAAATAAATATATATATACAACAGAAAGTCAATATATTGTTGCATTTGCAGTTGTGTAAATTTCAATCTTTTCAGTAATTAATTTAATAAATTTTTGCATTGCTTCTTCTATGTCATCCATTTGGTAAACATCAAGCCATAACTCATTTATGAAGGCTTTCTCAAGCTTATCATAATCCAGGAAGTATTTGTATTTAAGACATGCCTTGGTTCAGATTTCGTATGAATTCGTTTTCTAAAGGTATTTAGGTAAATATTCATATTTGTCTATATACTTTTGTCCATTACTGTACATATAAACTGTATTGCTAGTTTTCAGCACATTCCTGTATACCTCTATAGCCACTTTTGGCTTACGTGGAGGTTCAAAGATAAATATTAGATTGATGCAATCAGAACAGATCAACAGTGTGTTCGGAATGCCGGCCCCTGATATATATCGTTATCAGTGAAAATTCTATATGGGTCGACTTAATGGGTTTATTAGGGTAATATGTTTTGAGATCTAAGCCTATTGCTTTGTTAACTGCATTATCATACTCACATACCTTATCAAAGAAGTACTTCGCACAACCTAACCTAATGTTTAAGTGGTTCCACTCCAAGTACTCATCAACCCGTGCTTGTGGTCTGACCTCCTTGGGGTACCAGTGCTCTTTTACCTGATATTCGCGGGCTAAGTACCTCACTATTGCTACGCTGAAACAGTTTCACATTCACCATATTACCTGATTTGTGAATTGCAAATGCGATGATATTTGAAATGTCTTCTGGTAGTTATATTTTCATTTTTCATCAACGCGTTTACCAGTCCGCAATAAAAATATAGAACAGGTACAAAAGCCCCGGCAAATTGTTGGTAACATGACGGACTATTAGCACACTACATAAACAGTAAGATTGAAAATATATGAAAATGTGCCATAAATATAGATCATGGTAAGTTTCAATAAAAAATACATAAATTTATATCAATAAATATTGTTTTGGAATTATACAGAGTGTTCCTTAATGATATGCGAATATTTAAGGGTGTGCATCTACATGAAAAATTAATGTTAGTTTGCTTTATAAACTATGGTCCAAAAATGTTTCCTTACAAAAACTCGGGGTGTTGAAGTTTTAGGGGAAAAAATGGAAATTCATTAATATTTTCAGAACCGCATCTAATATTTCACTGATATTTAGTATATAGTGAAAGTTCATAAAGTTGCATATTTTTCAATGCAAAAATAATTTTCAGCTTTAACAGTGACGTGCGTACGGGTACTTACTTCGATATTTTTCAAGAAAAAAATGTTACGCCAATGGGGCCGTTCAAGTATTTTGGATGTCATGGGGGGTAGGGGAGTCTAGAAGATGATTACGTCATCGGTAGTTATTTACTTTTTTACGCGAATGGCAACCCTCACATTGTCTTTTCTTGAAAACGAAACGCATTTTCGAGGATTCCCGCAAATAATGCATACGTTTAGTGAACAGCGCGTGGTAATTCCCCTACTCGCTTTAGAACCGAGTAGGGGAATTACCGAATTACTTGTCTAAATTTCCTCTTGCAGTGTATTGTTTCGTTTGGATACTATAGCGAAGACGTATTGTAAGCATAGTAAAGCAAGTTAACATTTGTGCTACCATTGCATCCATTAGCCAAAGTTTAATGTTTAAATAAGATGTCGTTTCACATAGACAAATCCAAGTTATACCAAAAACTGTTTTAAAGTTTTAAAAAATCTCACACAAGTACGAAAGTACAAAATGTACAAAAGTTAGTTAACGAAGTGTGGCGAAATTACAAGCAAAATCCGACAAGGAACTAGATATTATTGTATCTAAGAGAATCGAAGAAGAATTGCAAGCGGCGACTAAGAATAAATCCAATCTACTAAATTTTTTTTCTAAGGTGAGTGACGAATTAGGTACCTATGAGTACTAGAAATATTAGAAATCACCAAAAAGTTTCTCTTTAGTGATTAGAAAATATTATGGCCTATCTCAAAGAATGATTGATTCCGAAAACTAACACGCTGTATTTTGTGACCGGAACGAATTGCTCGTTTAAACATATTAGATTTAAAGCCATAGGGTTATGTATTTACCATATATATTGCCATACTTTGTATTTATGTAGCTTAATAAGAGAATCTTTAGCAGAAGCCATAGAAAGTTTTTATTTTTAGGCAACCTGTAAACCTGCAGAAAAAACACAAATTATACAGTGAGCTTCAAATATTAAAAAAGGGGAATAAGATAAAATAAAACCCGGTAATGAATCACAAAAGCAATGCGAAATTAATGAAAATACAGATAAACAGAAAGCAAAACCTTCTCAGGAAGGTATGAAAAATAAGATTGCTATACTCGAAAAAAATCTGAATGCTTTGTATTCTGCCAGAGATACTATGCCAAGCCGTGCTGAAGTTGATAAACAGATCATTAAGTTGCGCGAGGAAATAAAAACAGCAAAACAGTCTTTAAACAGGAAGGTTCAAAACGCAGTTGCCCAGAAGAAACACAAGGATGGTACGAAAAAAGATATTTGTCATGAAAATCCAGAAATAAAAAAAGACTATCTCTGAGGGATTCAGTGGGACGTCCTAATCTTGAAAGCACATTCACTATTGAAAACAATCACGGATATAGCTTTATTTGGGAGTGCAGCAGATGATAGAAGACGAACGGAATCAATTCGAAGCGTAAAAACTCTTGATGAACTCACACAAGAATTACGTAAAATAGCATTTGACATTAGTCGCAGTGGGACATTTCTTCGTTTGATTCCCAGAAAATCTAATTCTGCAGAGGGACGAAGATATGTATCGACAGTCCCTGTTAAGCTCATTCGGGCTCAAACTGATCACCACAAGAGCCACTTAGATAGCAAGTTCGCTGAAACATCAATCTATTATTTAGAGAACATAGCATCCATTCCAAGTATTTTTCATATCTCAAGATGATAAAGCTCGAGTCCCTATTGGCGTAACTGCGGCAAATAAGCAAGCACATCTTCTAATGCACATGGAATATAGAATCAAATTGCCTGATCACGATTGGGTAATCGCTAAGCGTCATAAATTAATACCATCTGTTTATGCTGGAATCAAAATCACTTCCAATATGCTAGGACAACCGCAAGCCGTTGGATATTCTGGACCAACATACATCGCTATTCGAAGTGGAAAGCATAGTTAATCTACTGCTAATACTCATGCTCAGGATTTCGAGACGCTTCTCGAACTTGAAGAGTTTCGACCATTAGCTAAAACTGACAATGGTAATCATGAAGGTTGATGGAGGGCCAGATGAAAATCCACGTTATCAAAAAGTCATAGGGTTATACAACACTTTAAGCGACATGATCTCGATGCATTGTTTTTAGCTACCAATGCTCCTGGAAGAAGTGCGTATAACAGAGTAGAGTGCAGAATGGGTCCTCTTAGTCGGGAACTGGATAGTTTAATATAGCCTCATGGCCATTTTGGGTCTCATTTGGATGAACGTGGCGTTACAATTGCTGAACATTTAGAAAGATCTAATTTCGAATTTGTAAGAAATGTATTAACTGAAGTATGGAGTTCAATGGAAATTGATGGCTATAATGTTAATGCAAAATATGTTGGGGCAGGTGAACAAGATCTTCCTGATTTTCCAGACATTAAATGGTATTCAGAACATGTGCGTGCGAGCCAATACTTGCTTCAAATTGTAAAATGTAGAAATACAGAATGCTGTCGTCCAAGAAGTGGTCTATTTAGATTACTAGACAATAGGTTTCTTCCACCACCTGTAAAAGTAAAACAAACAGTTGATGACTTGGTTTTGGATGAAGGAGGGCAATTTCTTAATCTTCCAGTCAATTTAGCTCTACTCTTAGGTGCCTCACTCAAAGATTTCCTGCAAATGCCCTACGATTATTTTTGTCCGACGGTAAAATTGAGGCTATCAAGTCGCACATGCAAAACGTGTGGTCTTTATCATGCTTCCGTCAAGTCACTAAATGGTCACATCGAAAATATCCATAAAAAAGTAAACACGCATACTGATAGGAAAGTTAGACCTGTAAGAGTCGCTGCTCGTCGTGCTAATGGACTGATGTGCATTATTCAAAATTTAGAACACCATGATGTTGAATGGCTCGATGAGAACGACGTAGACATTCCAAAATCCGATGAAAGCGAGCAAACTCACAACACTGAGCAGCAATCGAAGCAATCCAATGTCATCAATCGTGGATTCGGGTTTCATGGAGTGATGACTGTTAATTTGAATTTAATATATGTACCAAAAATTTAAAATAGGTTTGTTATGTTAGTAAGATATAATATTATTGTCGTTTACTGTAGTTCTAGTTGAATACCGTATCAATAAAATATAATCTCTATCCTAAATCTATTTTCTTATTTTTCAAATTATAATTATAACGTTATAATTGTAATATTAAAAAAAACAATACATTAATTGACAAATGTTTACGTAAGCATGGGGGGAGGGGATAAGAGCTTTGCTTACTTTTGCTGACAAGGGGGATGGGGATGTAAATAATTGTAATAAATCTGCTTACATAATACTTGAACGGCCCCATATCTATTTGCTCATATTTGGTTGAACAAATATTATTATTATATATCTACATGAATATTTATCTAGAAAAATCGGTTTTCTAACAAATACTAATTTTACCTTTCAGTAAGCCTGAAATCATCATGGTGAATAAAGGGAACTTTCTGGAACTTTGAGTGTTTCTCTCTAAATTCTTCAGTAAGGTGTTCACCTAGAATTGCAAAAAACCTTTTCAATATCTGTCAGTTTTATTATCCATCCGTATGAATGACAAAGAGTCATGCTCTATTCAAAATTTACCGCCTCAAAGATTAGGTGGGAACACTTAGAGATGGTTCATTTTTTATCGTTTTATGATGTCAGACGCACTTAGTTGCTGTTTTAAGTGGTATAAGTTTGACTGGAGTTTATATTTATGTTCAATAACTTATTGAGTAAGTGGATTTTTAAAATTAAAGGACCGGTATTTGGTATTAATATTTATTGTTATATGTGTGAGGGCCACGTAGTACTGCAGACACAAAAAAAGTTTGAATTTTTTAAAGGAAGTTATTAGGATATTTTTACTGGAAAAGGCAGTTAAAATACAGAGTGGCGCATCGAAAACGAAACAGACGCATTTACTGGCAGCTCAGTTTTTTTTTTGAAAAACGCTCAGACACGTCGATTTTATTTTCGAGGGGGGGTGTTTTGGTGGTTCTGGTCTGGTCTGGGGGATATTGTGAGAGTACAGGGAATACTGAATAAAGAAGGTTACAAAGCCATACTACAAATTCATGTTGTGCCTTCTGGGCTCCTCTTATTGGTCCCGGGTTTGTCTTTCAGCATGATAATGACCCCAAACACACATCCAAGCTCTGTTAACAATTTTTGGAAGCAAAAGAAGAACAAAACGTTTTGAAAGTCATGCAGTCCTGATACAAAACATAACAATTTTCTAAAGGCAATGAAATTCATATTATACCTGTTTCAATGGTGATGTTTTCCAATAAATAAAGAAAAATAAATAGTACTGAATAGTTTTTTTTTTGTTTTTTATGTTTTTAAATGGAAATATGCAGGTGTTCAAGTACTTTTGAACAGTAGTGTATATTATCTAGCTATAATGAATTTTTATCTTGTTTTTGTTTATAGTGTGGTACAACTAACACTATTAACTCACTCTGCATTATATTAACATTTATCAGATATTTTAACTATGCTACTTGTCTTGCAACGTGCCATTTAAGCTTCATGTTTGGAATTTGGCTAAATATACCACTAGTAGGCAAACTGACACAAGAGAGAGAGACCAGAATCGCCAACTACCCTAAAAGTAGTTTGCAGGGACTTGAAAGTGAAGCATTTGGAGCTTTAATGTGTGTAATTTAGGTAATTATCTGTGGAGTCACCTGACAGAAGAGACAACAGTGACAATAATCACAACTGAGTTTTTTCACACATAAGTATACAAAGTTCACTTATCTAATTTTAAAAGGCATAATTTAGCCAGCTTATGTTTTTAGAGAAAAATGATACTTCTACTTTAAAAAAGTCATTGAGGTGATCTTCATACAATGTAGTTTGATCTATGGGTAAATAAAACTGTGCAATTTCGGGTGGTAAACAGATTCAAACTTTGACTAGTAAAGCTAGTAAATAAGTAAAACTATATGTCATATTAATAAAACTCATTCGTTCTTTCACAGAAACTACTACTTACCTTCTCCCACCTTTACTGGAACAGGTTCGAATGGTATTTTATTCATCTTCAAGAAAATATAAACAGCCCTGGAGGGCTGTGACAACAAGTCATAATAATACTTCAACACCATTTCACAAATAATGAGATAAAAGGTGACACAAAATAGCTAAACTTGGCCCACCAAATATAAATAGAAAAAGTAAATTATTAGCCGATTTTTGGAAGATAACCTCAACCACTAGCCACCTTCAAATATCACAAATTAAATAAAAATAAAAACAAGTGGTCCTTGACAGCTGTACTCAGTGTTGCCGAACATACCGATTTTTCGGTATTTCTACCAAAATGGGACAGGGAAATACCGAAAAACTCATCAATTTCACGACTTTTTAAAATAATTCAGATATCTCCCGAATAAGACCTAGAACCAAAAATCAAACTAAAAAATGAATTATATGTAGATTTATGCCCCATGTCATACAGAAGCGTACAATTTAGGCATTTTTCACGATCACGCCAGTAGCGCTCCCTGGATTTCAGTCTGGGAGGGGTAAAATGGAAAGTAAATTCTCAGTGTGACGTACTGAATTGTTATAATAATTTAACATTAAAAGCATGGCCATATGCAGACATATAAATTTGTTACAGTAATTTCTGTACAAAATACATACATTTGTTTTTGAACCATACGAAATCAAAGTGTAAATAAAGCAAACCAAGCTTGAGCAATCTTCATATATTAAAACTAATATGCAAAATAATATAATCACAGACTTTTCTACATAACAATGTCAGACAAAACAACAAAAAACACATCTTCATGAAAAAAAAATAACAATAACAAATATGTTACGATTTCTATAAAGTATAAAATTGAATGTAAATCAAAATAAATTCTTAATCATGAGAAAAACATAAAAAATACATTCATTGCATAATTACATTGTCCTAACCAGTCTCAAAAAATAAAAACATATAAACTATGAAACTACATCAGTTCACAGTCTCAAAGTAAAACAATCATTAGCTTAGAAAGTGATTTGAACAGAATTTGAATAGACTTTTATATCAATCTGCTGACCAATAAATAAAACCACATATCTTGATTGGATACTTTGGAAAAGATCACCGCGGTGGTTTAAACGTAAGTAAGCCCTTAACTACATATGCTTTTTTATTTATTGGTCAACAGAAGGGAGATGGGTCTGAGAGACATCCTTAGGCAAAGTTCAGGTGTTATCATATTACAAAATCACGGCGCCTATTCTTTTTGCTGACGAACCGATCTAGGATTGTATTCCCGTCTATTTTAATATCCCTATGCATATACAAAAGAGCTAAACCCACTAATCGCTCTTGTAACACAGTGGGGCGCAGCCAAGTTTTTATCCTCTTTAGATGGGAGAAACTCAGATGTCGCAACACTTACCGGCACTGGAATCAGTAATTGTAGGCATCTACTAAATGAAGGAAAAATGTTTTCATCACATGATAAATACAGTGACTTTCCACTGTCTATAATATCTTGTGTACGTGACTTCCAAAGGTCAAATTCTGCTTTTAATTTGGTATTTATTAAATTTTTGCTTTCGTTACTGTTTAGTCCATGCAAATATTTAGCGATTGTTTCTAATATATCCATTACTTCAGCTTCAGTTTTTGAATTAAATACTGGCGCAAAGAAAATATTAAAATTGTATACAGGTCACGCGTGTAGAGGTAAACGAACCCGTATAATCGATTGCGTTTCAAAAAACAACAAGCACTAGAGACGTGACTAGAGAAGTGCAAGTATCAAAAACTAAAGTGTGGCAAACGCTGCGTGAAGAGGGGCTGTATCCGTTTCACGTCCAACGTGTACAAGCCCTTCAACCTGACGATTTTCCAGCAAGAGTGCGGTTTTGTGAGTGGTTGTTGCATCAACATGACAATAATCCGAACTTTTTGAAGTGCATATTGGTGACAGACGAATCTACGTTCACGCGTAATGGGGTGAATAACTTTCGCAACACTCATGTTTGGTCAGTAGAAAATCCGCACGCTGTCCGTCGGGCACATTTTCAATAAACATTTTCGGTGAATGTTTGGGCTGGCATGGTGAACGGTATGCTCATTGGTCCATTCATTCTCCCAAATCGATTGGACGGGATGCAATACCTAGACTTTTTACGCAACATTTTGCCTTCCTTGTTAGAAGATGTGCCATTAAGTGTAAGACAATCAATGTGGTTTCTGCACGATGGTGTACCGTGTGGCGTACGCCCTTTCCCATGTATCCCCCTATAGCCCCACGGTACCCAATGGGTGCTTAGGCCTTAGGCCTTCGTGGTAGTTCGAGTATTAAAAAAAAAATATTACAAAATCAAGGCGCCTATTCTTTTTACTGGCGAACCGATCTATGATTGTATTCACGTTTATTTTAATATCCCTATGCATATACAAAAGAGCTAAACTCACTAATCGCTCTTGCAACATAGTGGAGCGCAGCCAAGTTTTTATCCTCTTTAGATGTCGCAACGCTTACCGGCAATAAAAGCAATAATTGTAGCCATCTATTAATTAAATGTAAAATGTTTTAATCACATGATAAATACAGTGACATTCCACTGTCTATAATATCTTGTGTACGTGACTTCCAAAGGTCAAATTCTGCTTTTAATCTGGTACTTATTAAATTTTTGTTTTCGTTACTATTTAGTCCATTCAAATATCTAGAGATTGTTTCTAATATGTCCATTACCTCAGCTTCAGTTTTTGAATTAAATACTGACGCAAAGAAAATATTAAAATTGTATATATTCAAACATTCTTCATTGAACCAGTATACCAAATCCTGTAATATTCTAGCAAAGGGACATACAGGTGCAGTCGGTAATGATTTTCCTTGTCAGACGTAATTATGTTCGGTCTGTTCATTTGCCTGCTTGTTATTCTTGACACAGTCAGTTCAATACCCAGGGTTTCATGTGATTTCATTATACAGGGTGGCGCATCGAAAACGAAACAGACCCATTTACTGTCAGCTCAGTTTTTTTTTTGAAAAAACGCTCAGACCCGTCGATTTTGTTTTCGAGGGGGACACAAGTTTGGCAAAAAATCACGTTAACACGTGCAGCCCTCTGGGCGGGGGTGACACAGGGTTCTCTATATAATGCCCAGATACGATTATTCTGCTTATTAACAAATCCGTTCATATCGAAGTGGACAGCATCGCTCAGTATCAGTTGTCGGTACAAATCGTTATTTTTGGTATTAAGCTGCAATATTGCATGACTGTATTGTCGGCTCCTTTCATGGTCAATAGGCTGTAGTTCTTGGGTTAAATGAATTTTGTATGACAGCAAATGTAAGTCTTTTTTTCAAATAGTGCATAATGACGTGCGACGAATACCCAATTCTTGAGAACGATATCTGGTAGACGTGTCTGGGCGTCCCACTACACTTTCACGAACCCTCTCGACATTTTCCGGAGTACGAACAGTTCGAACACGACCCGACCTCTGCAAGTCTTTAACTTCACGTGTTTGTTCAAATTTCCGCACCAACTGACGAATAGATTTGGTACTGTGCATTATTTCGACCGAAATCCTGTCGTAGCTTCCAAATCTTTGTAACAATCGCCACATTGTTTAAGTAAAAAGTTTTAACAATACGGACTTGTTATAAGAACGTGTAGCGCTCCATGATCTACTGGACACATGTGCTTTAAGCAACTACTATGGCGCCATCTACTGCGTGTATAAAAAATGGCGTGCAATTTAAATCAGTCATTTATACAGGGTGTCCGCAAAGTTGGGGTTTTCCTTTACACGACGTGTAGATCTTGAAAACATAAGCAATTTTTCTTAGTACCATATACACCAATGTCTTAAGGGAACCGAGATAAAGGGCTCTGCAACATCAAAAATATCTGAATGCCGTCCTGTAGCCGCGACCCGCCGGGATATCCCCGACTGGTACAAGGTCTCAACCCCACGGCAGAACTGGGTCGGGGTCAGTGTGTCAGGTTAGTATGCAACCTTCAACCGACGGTTACAGTCAGGCGTGTAGAAGTAAACGAACTCGTATAATCGATTGCGTTTCAAAAAACAACAAGCACTAGAGACGTGGCTAGAGAAGTGCAAATATCAAAAACTAAAGTGTGGCAAACGCTGCGTGAAGAGGGGCTGTATCCGTTTCACGTCCAACGTGTACAAGCCCTTCAACCTGACGATTTTCCAGCAAAAGAGCGGTTTTGTGAGTGGTTGTTGCATCAACATGACAATAATCCGGACTTTTTGAAGTGCATATTGGTGACAGACGAATCTACGTTCACGCGTAATGTGGTGAATAACTTTCCAAAGACTCATGTTTGGTCATTTTCAACAAACATTTTCGGTGAATGTTTGGGCTGGCATGGTGAACGGTATGCTCATTGGACCATTTATTCTCCCAAATCGATTGGACGGGATGCAATACCTAGACTTTTCACGCAACATTTTGCCTTCCTTGTTAGAAGAAGTGCCATTAAGTGTAAGACAATCAATGTGGTTTCTGCGTCTGCTCGGTAGCGCTCAGCTGATTTCATTTTCTGTTGGAACGGTATGATTTCGGGCAGAGACGTACTTAGCCCTTCTCGTCAACTGGAGAGTGAGTACTTTTTCCTTTATTTTTTTTTTACTTGGTCGCCCTCGTTTCACTACACATTACCTTTGTTATTTCAAGGGTAATTGTTTCTGAAAAGGAAAACCCCAACTTTGCAGACACGCTGTATATTGGCAACCCTGTATATACTCCAGATAGATAATGCATCATATTACGATTGTGCCTCAGTACATACACCTTCACATAAAAAATGTAGATATGGCATTTAGCCGTGTCGCAGCTTTTGCAGTAGCATGTGAGTTAATTAATATACTACTAGATACTAGACTAAATGTAGGGTCCTAAATGGTAATCAGGTAGGGGATAAATTACAGGTTTTACGGACATCTTCTGTTCCCAATCACACTTTTTGCGGGTGAAGAGAAGTTATCCATAAAACCTGTATAACTTATCCAATAGCTCGGGTCCTACGTGAGGGATTATGCGATTTGGTGTAGTATCGAACTGTCAGTTCGAAATTCAAACTTTTTCTAACCACAAGTTCCTTCCTAAGGTCGACTTTGAGTTGAGTTGCTCCTTAGTTTCGAGCAACTGTAACATTTAAAACTTGAGTGGAAATTAAAAATCAAATGAGCAAGGTTGAAGAATTCATCTGCTTAAGGTGGAGTTTCTAAAACATAAAATGTACTTGGTTTTTACAGTATCTCAATTTAGATTGAATATTTAGAACATGGACATAGACAACACAGAAATTGATGAGTTAATGATATTCCAGATCTATAACGAAA